TGAGACATTTCCATAAAACTAAAAACCCAAAAAAAAAAACAACTCAACAGAATAATGACCTGAAAGAGCATATAACAATTTTCGTTTTAATTATTATTTTTGTATGTCTAATTATATTTAATAAATTTTTAATTAGCTTAATTTTACTTGTAATTAACGGCAGGTCTTCAATTTATAGTTATGTTAAATAATAGTTGCATTGCATTGCTTTGTGCATCCACATCCTCGTAACGCAATTGCGGCTTGTTACGCCTTTAAGTATGCACTTGAGCATTGCCTAACTGTTAGTAAGAACGGCATGCCACTCAATTACAATTTAGTTTACGCTTAATATATTGTAGCCATTAAATTGTTTATTGTTGTTTTCATTAAATTTAATTGAGTGTAATGAGCAGAAAATCAGCTGTGGTAGGAGGCGTGGTGAGCAGGTCAAAAATATTAGCACAGGGTGTGAGGAGGTAGTATAGTCTTTTCGTACAGCTAACTTCTGAGCTAAGGAAAGGCCCTAGAATCGCATAAAGTTTTAAAAATTTCTTACTTTTAATTTTGAATTTTTACGTTTTCGTTTAAACTCAATATCTGTTGAAATTTGATGCTTTGTTCGTCTTTGCAAAAGAAAAGTTTTTATGAAATATTTTCATATATAATATATATTTTGAGTTTTTTTTTCCCCCCAACTGAACACAGCGCTACTTCTGGGAACTTAACCACTGCCCACACTAAGCGCCCACTGCGGTTGCTTACCCACTTGCTGTCAGCTTTCTATGCTTGATGTTTAGATATACTTACGTACACATACTCGTACTAGTATATACATATGTATGTATATATATATATAGTATTTTCTGCATGCTTTGTACTGGTTTTGTTTTTTTGTTTTTTACTTTGTTGTTGGTTTGTATTTAACTTTTAATTAGGTCGTACTAAAACGTACACATACACTAACATATATACGTGTACTTAGCGCTGGACAAAAGGTACATACCTGTAAATATTTTGTTGCGGAGATAATAAAAAAATACTTGTTGAGGTTATGTTTTCGGGATTTAATCTCACTGTGTTTAATTGTAAATGAAATTTAGAAAAAAAAGTACGAAAAATGAAAATTTTCTTTCGCAATATATATGTATGTAATCAGTGATTCGATAGCATTTAAATTATTCTAAAATAAAATTATTGTTATAGAATTTTTTATGATGTTTTTTTTTTAATTTTTTTCCTCAATTCCATTTCATTCTAACTGAAAATACACCACACCACAGTAAAATATCAAAAAAAAAAAAAAAAAAAAAACAAAAAACTAATTAGAAAAATAAATGGAAGAGTCAGAAATCAACTCAAACAATTTGATTTGTAAACACCAAAGGCTTAAGGCCATATTTTAAGTGGCAAATAAATACACCAAAACAAATAAATATTCAATTTTATTTTGCAAGCATAGTCTGGTGTACAGCAATGCCATAGTCTGCTGAATATTTAGTTAAATCCCACTACTCTGTGGATTAACTGCATTTAGCCGTAAGCTCTGTGTAATATGAGGCAATCTGTGTTTCACAAAATCGAATGTCAAAAGTTTTAGTAGACATTCAACTAGTTATTTATATGTATTTATTTATCTTTCGTTTTGCTAAAATAAAACAGTTTCAGGTCACTGTTGGTTTGCTATTTGAAATTGTGGATTTAAATGTTATTAAAGCGTCCAGCTGTGTCAACTGAGCAGGCTGAGTAGGTGGCTTATGCTCGAAACAGAGCAATGAAATGTTACAAATTACAATAAAAGAAAATGTGAAAACGAAATCGGAAGCAGTTGTGTTTGCTATGTGAAAGATATAATAAAATATGTTCTTAAAGTGATGGCTGGAAATTATATATATTTAATATATACATAAGTGACGCTATGTAACCGCTGCAGCAATTTTCGGCCGGTCTCTTCCAACAATTCGTGTTGTACTTTCTAATATATTTATTTCCAACAAATAGAGGAACCTAGAGTTTATTGTAAGGCACCTCCGAACGACAGATGGATTTTTATGACGAACTTTCATTTTAAGCCAGAAATACACCCCGCTTGGGCTTAACACTCTCTGCCGGGAGGCGAGCACATTTAGAAATTTGAATTTTCTAAATTTTTCTCTTCCAGCACCTTCCGTTGAACGAAGGTTGGGCACTGTTTTTGATAGCTGCACGTGCCGTGATAAGATTTTAATGGTGTCGCAATGAAAATCACAGGTATACTCATATCTACAAGAATAGACGGATGACCGCCTAAAATTCACTAACCTCAAGACAGATATCAAGGTAGTCATCCCAGATAGAGTTCTTGAATCTGTAACGGTAAAATCGAAAACAAATAGATCGCCACAAATCACTTAAAGTGATGGCTAAGCAGTTCTAGTATGGGTGTATGGGTGCCTGGACACAGTAATATGCTGAGTAATGAGATGGCGGACGAGCTTATGTTCTTCCTTCCACTCTCGCCATTATAGAAAAGTATGGACATGTAACTGTCCACTTGTAGACTAACCAGGAGGGAGTTATTCATCAAGGATGCAATTGAGATATCAAACCTAAAGAACAACAACAAGCAACATAATCGAAAGCGAAAAGTGAAAAATCAAATATCGTGCCCTTACAAAGTTCAGTTATGTTGTTTACGGCAGCTCTTGTTTAGAAAAAAAACGATTTTACAAGTGGCACAGCATGTTTAAACAAAAACAGGAATCCCTTGAAGACGCCCGTGATCGGACAGGAGTATTGGTCAAGTCAGGTCAGGTGACCAAGCCAGAGCTTATCGAAAAAGTTGAAAATATTGTGCTCAACGATGCTGGACTTAAGGATAAACAACTTGCAGAAATGGTTGGAGAATCCGATACAGTCATTGTGATAATTCTCCACCTTGGCATGAATAAGGTCAGCACAAGATGGGTGCCGTTTATGCTCACGTCTCAGCAAAAGCGTGCAGTATTCAAATGATCTTTTGGGCCTCTCTTATGAAGAGAAGGATTTTATACTGGGTCGAGTTGTTACCGGAGACAAAAGTGGTATAAAACATGCCGCCCATTCTGCGAATATAAAAACGTTCCCTTATATATATATAATATGTGCGATATACATAGGTTCTTACGAAAATTTCTCCAAAAAACCGTTTCGCGTTTTGTGCATTTGCTCTGTCAAACTCATATATAGATTAATAGAAAAATACCCATCACTGACAATAGTAACTCATTTCATTGGGCGGAGGCAACTAATTCCCGTTAGTTTTTACTACAAAAGTGCATTAAATCTTTCTCTGAGTAGATATTTAATATTTGTGGACATATATTTGCAGTCGGCAGCTTATCACCGCCTAAACGACTTCCGATTAAGCTTCTCCTCCTATTTGTGGTATTTTCTCTACAAAAGAAGACCGCCGCCAAACAGCTGTTAGAAGACAAGTGTTTTTTTTCATATCAGAAGCGAGATATCCTCGTCGAGGTGAGTCTGCATTAAAAAATTACTTTTCTTTTAAATACTGGTCCGGGCAAGGTTTGAACCTAGGACTTCGGCTATATAATTTTTTTCGTTATAATAGAAATGATACTCACCAGTTTAAATTAAAACAAATGTGAATTAAATTTTTTTAATTGTTTAAGTGAATTTTCTACAATTTTCCACAATATTTTCAAATGCAATGGAAATTATTCCCTTTATTCGCACATACACGTCTATACATATATTGAAACGCCTGTTCATTTAAACGCGATCTTGTTTTTCTTCATAAAATTAACACCGCAATTTATGTTCATTTGAGCAGTAAATGCTGAAAAAGCAAGCCATCTGCATATTTACGTTCATTGGTATTTTATTATTTACATTCGACAGCAACAACACGCGTCTTTAAGCAGCACTCACTTGTGAACGTAGAGAGCAAATGCAATAAGTCATTCGTTCACAAGCCAAAACAGATTCGAACACACGCTCACACAAGCTAACCGCAAACGGAATGCAAGCACACTTGGCCTAACGGAAACGCTTGTGGCAGCAGTGTTTATCTTTAACGAGATCTATAAGTAAAAAAAAATAACAACAAATTTCCCAAGTTGTTTTGAAGTTCACTTTTTATATGGCTCTTTAACCTCACGCGCGCTCATACACAATATACATACATACATATGTACATACTCGTATATAGTTCCGTTTTATTTGGATTTCATTTTTTTATTATTTCCTAACCCACTTTGACACTATTATTTTACTCAGTTGTGCCGTTAGTGATACGTTCGTACAAAACGTTGGCTACCGAAGGACTAAACACGAATATTTTTTCGCTGTGCTGATTTGGTCTACTACTGTAGCAAAGAGGATGCTGTGAAATGAGTAAGAAGTCACTCATACGCACTGTTCGCCCTGTGTGCTGTGAGTGTGTTGTGAGTTCGTGTTTATGTACAGTGTCACAGTGAAGAGTGATGCCGTTGTGGTTGAAATGTGTGTGTTGATTATCGATAATGTTATCGATAGCGAAATTAGGGAAAGATAGAAATCAAGAAAAACTCGAAATAAATAAAAAATTTAAATAAATTTAATATTTTTAAATGGAAGTAAAATAAAATAATAAGAAACCAAAAAAAAATACAATAAAATAAAATAAACTAAAACAAAATGAAACGAAATAAACTAAAATAAAATAAAAAACTAGATTGAATTAAACAAAATAAAGCGATATAAAATAAAATAAAACACAAAACATAACGTAAACTAAAATAAAAAAAAGGAAAATTAAATTTAATAAAATTAAAATACACTAAAGCACAATTAAACAAAATAAAATCAAATAAATTAAAAGAAACTGAAATAAAATAATAAAATTTACTATAATAAATTCTATTAAATTAGAGAAAAAAATTCATATTTTTTAATAAAATAAAAATAATATTAAAATAAAACAAAGTAACAAGATTATATTAAGTGGAATTAAATACGGTAAAATAAAATAAGGCAAAACAATATAATTGAAATAAAATGAAATTACAAATTTCAACAGAAACCCACAAAAAAACCAAAAATGTATCTTTTACCGATTAAAAATTCAATTCAACTTAACCGCTAAGCCATGCAACACTGTTCAGTAGCCAACAGCTGTGGCGCTGAACGTAAACATAAATACAGCTGTTAAATGAATGTTATGTTCGAGATCAAACTGTGACCGCACACGGTTTTTTAAGGATGTTCCGTAATATTGTTATCGGTGTATCCGGTGGCGTTGACAGCGCCATTTCTGCACTTTTACTCAAACAAAAAGGTTAGTTAGTGGCTTATACTTTTCCCCAGAGACTGCTCACTGAAAAAGGTACATATATTTTTATGTCACCTTGTAAAAGGTTACAATGTTATAGGCTTATTTATGAAAAATTGGGATGAATTTGATGAAATGGGTGCTTGTAGCGGTGAACAGGACTATCGTGATGCGGAATTTACATGCCAAAAGCTGGATATTGAACTGCATATGGTGAACTATGTGAAGGAATATTGGAATTCGGTGTTTAGGTGTAAACTTGGCTTTCCTTTACCGGTTTCGTTTTTTTTTAGATTTTTTTTTTCTTATATTAGCGCGTTCCTGGAGGATTATCAAAATGGACTCACACCGAATCCGGATATACTTTGTAATAAGTATATAAAATTTGATTTATTTTATAAATATGCAAGAGGACATTTGCATGGTGATGCCATTGCTACTGGACATTATGCTAAAACGAGTTTTGGAAATTTTTTGGAGCACTACAATGCAAATGGTGGTATGTTAATCTAGTATTATTTCCAAAATAAATATGTGTGTATATTAAATAACACTTTCTTTATACATACAGACGTAAACTTACTCATACCACGCGATACGTTCAAGGATCAGACATTTTTTCTCTCCGGCATACAACGTCATACTCTAAGTCGCACCATGTTTCCTTTGGGAGATTCGTTGAAAAGCGATGTGAAATTGTTAGCACGCAAATGTGGTTTGGAACGACTGGCGCACAAAAAGGAAAGTACAGGCATTTGCTTTGTTGGTAATCGTGATTTCAAGCAATTTATAAAGGAGTATATACAACCGCGCCCCGGTAATTTTGTAGATATTGATAGTGGCCATATTGTAGGCACACATGGGGGCATTCACGAATGGACTATTGGACAACGTTGCCGCTTAGCTTCCTATTTGCGTCCGTATTTTGTGGCAAAAAAAGATGTTGCCAACAACACAATATATGTAGCATCCGGTCATGAGCATCCAAGTTTGTATAGTGATATCATAAATGCGAGCGCACCCAATTGGCTATGCAATGATCCGCTGGGAGCAGGTACAAGCGAGCTACGCTGCCGCTTTCGTTTTCAACATACAAAACCTCTAGTGGATTGTACGGTTAAAAGGACCAAAGGAAATACTTCAGGTGTAGTTATAACTTTGGATAAGCCGCTAAGGGCGCTTACACCCGGTCAATATGCTGTCTTTTATAGTGGCTCGGCGTGTTTAGGCTCGGCGCGTATCATCAGTGCTAGTGCGAAGGTAGCAGAAAGTGAAAACAAACTTGCGAGAGTGGGGGTGGAGGAAAGAGTGAGAAGTATGAAGCAAAGATGACTGTCGAATTATTTTTGCCATTTTTTTTTTTAATTGTACCAAATATAAAATCATGTTAATATTAAAAACAACTTTAGTTTGTCTGTGATATTAGTCGGACCTTTTTATAAATAAATGTTCTTTAATTTGAACGCATTATTTTGTAATGGAATCTAATACAATATATATTCACATTACATCTTTCTTTGATTCATTGCATTTTATGTCATTTTCGTCGTTTTCAATTCTAAAAAATGCATTAAACAATTACAAAGTCTATTATTATTTATAAATATTACTAAAAATTTAAATTTAACAATCTTATCAGGTCATATCGGTTAAATAGTGTTTACAATTATAAATAAAACATGTATATAGTTATAATTTTCTTTACTTCCTAAAATAAACTAAATCAAAGTCAATAATTACTAAGCCAAAAGTACAGTGAGCGCATCTAAAAATTTCGCCATATCATTTTGTCTTATTTGTATTAACGAAGAATCGAAAAAGTCCTGCAAAATTACTGCATTGCATTTACTGGCTGCCTGTTCGAATGCTTTACCAAAGAAATTCTTCGGCGAATCTTCTCGCACAGGTGGTATGCCTACCAGCAGGCACAGACCACGTTCCACATCCACCGGGCAGCTGGCGATAAGTGGCAATTCTGGCGCTTGACGACTGCGCGACCCTGCCACATGGCCATTCAAAATGAACTTCGCCAACAAAGTCAAACCGTAAGGATAAGAGAAATATGTGTTCTCTTCAGTTAAGATGTAATAGAAGAATGTGCCTGTGGAGAGCACTTGATGCGCCTCCAAGCTGCTTTGTACTTGTTTAAATATGGAAGAGAGTAAGAGTTTGGCGTTTTCAATACCTTCCAACATAATGTCGCGATGATTTCGCGATAAGCTATCCAATGCTTCCAAAAAGCAATCCTCAGGTGTTTTATCTTTTTTCACTGACTCAAGAATAGCTAGCATGCCATAGACGTAATCAGCAGCAGCATAACGATTGCGATAGCCGTAATTCAGAGTAAACGAACCGTATACTATGTCCGGAATGCCATACTTTTCAGCCAGCTTTTCCAACATTTTATAGAATTCCTGTCGCAACACCAAATCCATAGCGCTGAACATCTGGCGGGCTTGCACCAGTGGCAAACCCATTTCGACAAGAAGCTCATGTAAACGCTTCTCACCACGCAACGTCCACAAACGCATTTTGCAAGCACAATACATGGAGTAGCTGAACAAAAAAAAGCGCCCATAAGTAAATTTTAGAAATAACAGAAAATAAAATTGCCACCTACCGCATGGACTCTACCACACTCCAATGTCGGTAGAGCACTAAATGCAGATCGTTTTCAAAATTGATTTTTGAAGCGCTCGTATTACTCTGATCGTTAGTTTTATTTGTTAAACGTGAAACATGAGACTGCACATGCTCTATTTCTAACGTATACGCGCTACTCTCAATTTTTCCCAGAATCAATTGCTCTGTTAGACCAACAATGGCCCACCACAACAAATCCATATTATCCTTCGACAACTTCCAAGCCAATTCAAATATTGTTAATGCTGTTGAGCGGCCATAAAAACTATATTGTGTATATTCAAACATAATGCGATCACGTTCATTCTCCCACGTGCGGCGTTGCCTTTGCTTAATAATACGTTGTTCATGGCGCTCGAGGCGACTTAATTTGTGTGCGGGTGGTTGTTGTGCTTTTTCACTGCCCTCCTCATCAGAACCACCAGCGCCACTATCATTGCCAACATCATCGTCTGCGTCATTTTCACTATCCTCATCTTCGGATTGGCAGAAGATGGACTCGAAGGCGGGTATATTTTCTTCCAGTGCAGGATCGCCCAAGATGCAAACCTGGAAAATGTTTCATCTTTTATATGTCACGACTTCTATGCATTTAACTTACCTGTCGATCACTGTAAATGTTGCACACATCTAAAGGGCGATGAGCATCGCAAATAAAGAACGTTACATCCTCTTCGGGTTGTAGCAACTCGACTATATCTACACAACCACCACAATTGATAAGCAATACAAACTTTACATCTCCCTGATGTTCATTGTAGGCGCGTTGGAGACCAGCTAAACCCATTATTGGCACCACAGAATACAGCATGTGGTCATATTTGAAGAGAGACTGTAAAATCTTGCTGGCGCATATAGCATCGATGTCATAATTCACAATTATAAGCAAACGTTTGCCCACTAAACGATTGTAGAAGTCCTGTCTAAGGTCCTGTATGAACATTGCGAACTTATTAATATTTAGTTGTGTACAGAGTTATTATTGGTTTCTTTGTTTTCTTTTTTTTATTTAAATAAGCCGTGCTAGGACAGCTGCTCGCGATCAACACTTGACGCACTACATAATTGGACGCCGTTTCAGGTCAGAAATTAGCAACTATTGTTTTGTTCTTTGTATCTTGTTTGCTAATAATTCAGTCTTATTTGATTTCTTTTAAATTTTTACTTTTTCAAAGAACTAGTTTGTGAAACCTTTGATGATCGTTCTGTTCACTTTCTCATGTTGTTTTAAAAAGCGGGAAATCATTACTTTTATGGTATGTTCAGTGTGCTGGAAACGAAAAACAGGGTTGTTTTCGCTATGGAAAAAATTGTCAAATTCAAAATATGAAATTAAAAATAATATAAAAATAAACGTCTGTAATTTAGAAAATAATAGATAAAAGTGCAAAAAAATACTGCTAACTTGTGATAATTGCAGACGTGAAGAACAAATTTATTTTTTGGAACAGCGGTCGCTACTCCGGCATTGCGCCAAGTAAATTTGAATTTCAAAATAGAACCAATCCATTAATTATTTACCACAAATATGTATGTGTGTTATTTTTTTTTTTGCTTTTTTCACTGCTTTTTAATACTAAAAATCCGTATTACAGCATCTTTTCTTTCCATCTTAAAAGTAATAGTTACATATATAAGCAACATGTCTCCTTGTAAGGCTTAAAATCTTAAAGCTAATTGACAAACGCACACATTTAAAAAAATAAAAATTGTTTTCGCTTTTATTTTCGAAGACAACCTATAACTCCTCGAAGAATGCTACGCGCGCTTTGGTCGATCCTGATTTTAATTTTTTCAACGTTGAGTATTTAGTTTCGCCTGCTTTTAAAAGCGCATCACTTAGAATATCTAAATTGCATTGATTTTCTTCGATTTTCAGCAATTCAATTTGTGAGCGTAATGTCTGCAATTGATTTTCCATTTGCTTGGATTTCTTTAAATACTCCATACGACTATTCGTGATTTGCTCCATTTCTGCATCGGTGAGTATGAATTCTTTCGTTTCGAAATCGTCAATCACATCGGAGGAGCTATCGTTTGTATCTGCGGCTAGGTCATGATTGGAAGTAGTCAATTCGACGCCACCCGCAGTTTCTATGTCAATAGTTGAATTGCTGGTGGTCAACGAAGGGGTGCTGATGGCCGTATTTGTAGCCGAAACGACTAACGTATTCCCTGAAACGGCCACCAAACTATCGGTGGATGTTTTGCGTCCATGATTGATGAAATTAAGTAGGCGCGCAGTCGCCTCACGCTCTGCTAATTGTGCGCACTGTAGCTCTTTCTTCAGTTTTTCCGCTTCCGCTTCGCGTTTATCCTTTTCGAGTGTCAATTGGTGCACGTAGAAATCAGCATCACGAATTTTTTTCTCCAAATCCATCTTTTCATGCTCAATTTTCATTTGACGCTCACGTAAACGATCTATTTCCGTTTTAAAGTGATGTGCTTTACATTCAGTCAATTGCATTTGCTCCTCATTCACGCGACTTTTCTCAAAATAGAGCTCCTTAGTCTCCTCAGAACGCCGCTAAGATAGATGAAAATAGTTTTTACTTCATTTGTATGATATTTTTAGCTTACCAGGGCATCATTCGCTATGCGCATTTCATCCTGAAGATGCTCATAACGCTTTTGTAGATCATAGCGATCACGTTCTGCTTTTTCGCGCAATTTTTTCTCACGCAAAAACTTTGCACGCTCCTGCTGACGCCTCTGCTTCTCTTCCTTTGCTTGTGCTTTCATTTGCTGAATTTCCATAGTGTCTGGTTTTCGTCGGCGCATATATAGATCGTGATTACCTTTACATAGATCTAAAATCTAAACGGAACGTAAAACAGTAAATAATACTGATAAAAATTAAGTAAAATAATAATTACCATTTTGTTGATATGCAAATCTTGTGAGTAAAAAATGAAATTGGAGACTTTTGTGTCCACCAAGCGTATGGTAAATTTCTTATCATCGAAGCTCACGTGCCTTATTTCATTCCATTGGAACGTTGTACGAGGCGAGAGTTTGTTATTTTCTTCATAAATATTAAGACCAATAGCGGTAACACCCAACCATAATTTGGTTTTGTTTTTATTCTGTAGAGAGAGTTATCTAATTTCATTATAATTAAAAAAAAAACAGCTGAGCAATAGCTAAACTTACAGTAATAGGAAAATAATTTACACCATACATATCTAAATCTTGTGCGATCTTCAAGTACTCCATTTCAACCTCATCACGCGTCATGGGCTCATGATCCATGTACCTAAAATTTAGTGTTCTTATTTGATTTACGACTTCGTCTGTTTTTTTTTTTTAAAGTGCTCACCAGGTTTTTATACGTTCCTCCCACATTTCGGGGGTCATTTGATACTGATCGGTAACTTTTTTTGGCAACAAATCGGCACTTGCCAACATACCATCTTTATATGTTTCATAGTCGTATGGTCCATACTGAACATGCACTGCATATGATGCTAGCAATACGGACGCTTCGGGTCGACAATAAATATCCATTGAGAGTATACTCTGTTTGACTTGTAGGAAGAATAAATGTTGTGTAATTTCTTGTATAAGCTCTTCACTAACATTTTCAGGGAAGTATTTCGCATAAAAATTAAAAACATAAAAGCCATTAGCTTGTACTTGTATGCGTTGATCTTTAACCTTCTTATCCATTTTCAGCCAGGTGACGCGACCGCGTGCATCCACATACTGCAGACCAAAATACCATGACTCACGTAAACCGATTGTGCGACAAACCAAATCAAAGAGTTCTTGCCCTGTCTGGCGATGCCCCAAATTGAATTCTAATTCAGAATCGAAGGTTACCACCTTCACTGGTAGCGAGCGATTTTTCTTGGTACGAAATGGACTCATTTTATTTTACAGACATTTGTGTTTATTAGCTATTGTCGTTGTTCTGTGTTATCTCGTCGATAGTAAGCTTATTATAGTTTTGTGATGTTGTTCAATTTGTTGCTGCACATTTTTCCAAAAGCAGGAAGGTTGTTTGTATTAAGTAATTTTTGTCACATACTCTTTGCTGTTTTGGCACTTTTTAAGGCACTTTAATATATTACACGCTCTCCTTTAGCTCTTTGATCACTTTTACAGTTTAAATATAGTTTTTGTAATCTTTTTTTTATAAAATTTCATCTTTTTCCCATTGTAGCGCGATCACCAAATGTGCAAATTATTAAAAATAAATGAAATGAAAAGTGAACAAAAGAAACTGTCAAAATTCCAATAAGTAAAAACAAAGCAACAAATTGCTGTTGCATCTTTGGCGAATAAATACTTGTGTAGGGCACACAACTGAACACACCACTTTGTGCCTCAGGCGTTCACAAACACAACTAATTTATTTTAGTACGAGAGCATTTACAAATACTACATATTTGGCTTGTGGTCATTATTTGAGGTGTATATATGTAAGTAATTAACGTTTACAAAATCCACTTGAATAAGACTAATATAAGAAGTTGACGATTAATAACCAAGATATTGCTATCACTGCCCAATGTTTTTGGAAGGTTACAAATATTATAAATATGTAGTTATGAACATAATGTATGAATAATCCTCAAGTTGGACGATAGTAGCCAAAAAATACTTAACATCTACACAGGTAGTTATTAGATACATATAGTTCTTACATCATATATAATAGTTGTAAATTACAATAAAGATAGTAGTTTGTTGAAAATCATATAAGCTTGCCTTTGTTTATTGTTTCAAAAGCTTTGCTCATTTGCTCACATCAAACTTGTTTCGATTGATATCATCATCATTTCTTTTTTTCGATTTACACTCTATACAACACACCTTTTAAGTCGCTCGAAGTGCAATTCGTATAACAATTTATTCTTCACATAATAGAATGGATTTTCAGCTTCATTCAGCTCAGGTGCATAAGAGTGCTGTTGATGCTGCATATGCAAGTGTTGTTGATCACCAGTAATTGAAATTTGATTACTATGCAAAGGCATATTCAAAGCATTGTTATTATTGTAATGTTCAGTTAGGCCAACTAGTTTGGTGGGGTCATTAAAATGCATTTGGTGTATTGCCTGCTGGGGCTCATCCAAATTTGTCAAATGCAGCTGATTAATTCGTTTAGACAATGGTGTGGAATCACAAATGTCATCTTCACGACTCCTTTTTCTATGTGGAAAATATAATTAAAATACTGTTTTCAAAATTGTTCATTTTAAATACCTTTTGTCTATTAAACCTGACATTTTGCTGAAAATTATTCTTATTTTACTGCAGCAGAAACGTATTTACGTTTTCTTTTTGTGTTTTTTCTTTCTTTTTTGTTGCAATTGTTAAGCGAAGTAAAGTGGAGAGTGATTGATAGTCTGTGTTCAAAGAGTACAATTAATGACAGTGTTGCATGAGCATATATGATTTGGAAATCCAATAATATTTGCATGATGTAATTGATTTCGATTTCTTTGCACTATAACGAAAATCAGCGAACATCTGATAATTCAAATAGGTGATAAAAAATGTATTTAATTGTATTTAGAAAAAAAAAAACAGATCTAAAGATTTATACGTCATATATTATCCATAATTAGCGAATTTCAATTTTATTAAAATAACTTAATAAATACAAGGATAAAAGTACGACCGCAAATAGCTTTTACAAAACCGATTTTAAGCATTTCTGCTATAGAAGTGTATGAGTCCTGTTCTATCGTTCCAACTGATCCGTTGGGAATTTAATATATTTGTTTTGATGAAAACTCAAACTCTTTTATTCTATGAACTTCTTTTGACTATATCTGTTTCTCTCATTTTCATTCTCATTATTTTAAATACCCTTTGAATTATTTTCCAAACTTCCAATTTGAAAAAATCTCGAAAACTGCCAGTCTTTGAATTTTTTCCCCAATTCGACTTGTAGTTTTGAGTTAACATGATTTTTCCTTCAAGCCGAAAACTGTGTAACTTACTGCAGCACTCTTTTCCAAGCTAGCAACCCTATTGCTCATCATAGGAGAACAAAGCAGAAGAAGCAATATGAGGAAGCAGACGTGAATAAGAAGTGGACGAAATTATTTCATAGAGCCCAGCCCCAGTTATAAATTTCAGATTTTATTAAAAAAATATGTAAGTAAATTAATAAAACTAGTTGGTAAACGACATATGAAGTGATAAAATGTTTTAGAGGTAAAAAATGTTTAGATTTTTATGCATTATTTTCATTAAAACCCTACTAAGCAAAAGAGAAAAGAGAAAATTCTGAAGTGTGAAAAGTGACGGTGCTGTGTGTGACTGTGTGACTGTATGACACAGGGTGCAGAAGAACGATGACGATGACGGCGCACGAACGTACGAAAAGCCAAAAACAGCGGCGTTGACGTAGAGGCAACTGCGCCAAGCAGTGAAGTATTGAAAGGAATGCAATAAAAAAAAAAATATTAAAATGACGACAAACACACCAACTTATCGCGTCGTTCATTTCGTTTGAAGTAAGTATGGCCACGGCGAGGACGCATCCGTTCAGAAATTAGATAAGAGCATAGCGAAAATGGAAAGACCTAACAAAACATATATGCTTGTAGTATGTATATATTGCAGTATGTCGGTAAACCAAAGAAAAGTGATATATCTTTTATTTTACATATTATTTATGTTTATTTGCTTACTACTTTCACGTTTTGGCAACAAAAATTAAATGTGATGTGCTAAATTCCAAAAAACAAGTTCTGCTTTACTTGTAGAAACAAAAACAAGAAAAAACTAAAAACAAATTGCACTTAGCTAGCAGCGCAGCCTGCTACGCTGTCAGCCACTTTACATTTTCATCGTGATCGATGAAGTACGATTTTATTTATTCGCTTGCGAAATACAGGAAGTTATTGGGTGGAGGAAAACAAAGAACATTAATAACTTTAATTATATTTGTGTATGTATGAGTGCATAGGAGAAAATCAACATTTGTAGGTGGAAGCAGTCGAAAACAAAAGCATACCAAAGTAGTTTTCGCTTATCAACATTCAGTGCTTTTCCCTTTGAGTCATACATAGTTCTCCAGAAGAGTCAAGTAGCAGCGCAGTCAATAAATTCGAAGCAGCGATATGACATCGTCGTCGTCGTAGCAGTTTGTGAAAAGCGCAGACACTCACGCGGACGCCAGACATACACACACACACGTACCCAAATATGTGCAAAGGCTGTAAATTGACTGTTGACTGACCACACGGCTCGTATATGCATATATTTAAAATTTGCTTAATGAAAGTTCACAACGTCACAAAATCTAGCATAAGCGCCTTCGAAAAAATGTCTAGTGGTCGAATGAATGAACATAGACTGTTAAAACACATAATTTGCCTAATAGAAGCAGCAAGGCATGTTAATGCTTTCATTCATAAATAATTTATGTGTTACCAAACATAACAAAAATATTTTATCTTCAATCAAATGTGTACACTATCGTAATTTTTCAATGACATTTATGCTATAACAACGTATCAGCGGTTATAACCACAAGATTACTATCCCATTTCGTAGCTCCCATCATTAAATGTTCCTCTCCTATTTATATGTCATTCTGAAAGTTGGTTAGCTACAGGGAGTGTCCGCTTCATGGATAGGTTTATTAAACATTTATTTTCACACATCAAAGTAACACCTAGTAAGGGAGTTCTTTTTTCAAAATCTTTTTGATTTTCTTGCAGTTCCACGATTAGACGTCAACTGCGCTACAACGCAAACTAAGCAAAATCATGCAGACCATTAAGTGTGTAGTCGTCGGTGATGGTGCCGTGGGTAAGACTTGTTTGCTCATCTCGTATACGACCAATAAATTCCCGTCGGAGTATGTGCCCACCGTTTTCGACAATTACGCTGTGACAGTGATGATTGGGGGTGAGCCCTACACTCTGGGTTTATTCGATACGGCAGGTCAAGAAGATTACGATCGTTTACGTCCGCTGTCCTATCCACAAACAGACGTTTTTCTTGTCTGCTTCTCAGTGGTCAGTCCCAGCTCATTTGAGAATGTAAAAGAGAAAGTGAGTAAGCGTTAAAATGAAATTCGTTTGTGTGATGATTATTGAATTGAAAAATATTGAATTCTTTCTTTAATGCTTAGTGGGTACCAGAAATAACGCATCATTGTCAGAAGACACCCTTCCTATTGGTTGGCACACAAATCGATTTGCGTGATGAAAGTAGCACTTTGGAAAAATTGGCCAAAAATAAACAGAAGCCCATTACAATGGAACAAGGCGAGAAGTTGGCCAAGGAATTGAAAGCTGTAAAATATGTGGAGTGTTCCGCTTTAACACAGGTTCGACATTTTTGGTATACAAACGAGGAATGATTTCAAATTAATAAAAAATTTACTTTGAAATTACAGAAAGGTTTGAAGAATGTTTTTGATGAGGCCATATTAGCAGCGTTGGAGCCACCAGAACCATCCAAGAAAAGGAAGTGCAAATTCTTATAATTCTGTATATATATTTATAAACGACATTTAAACAAAAGATAATTTGCAAGACAAAACACAACAGCAACAACAACAACAACAACAAACCTAACAAAATAAGCTTGCAAGCGCGTATGATTTCATTCTATGCCCAGATAAAAATCTAAATTGTGAACATTTTGTAGAGTAGAGTCAAAATAAAAACTCACCAATTTGTAATTTGGCAAAAGGTATGTAAATGCGTGTGATGGTATTGGCAAAAATGCGGTAATTACACAAAAAAAAAATCAAATATTCTTAACCTCGGCAAGAAGAGTTTGTATATGTATTTTAAGTATGATAAGGGCCTATCTATTTTATAACAGTCGGCAATATGAATGCATCGGTAGCACATACCCACACATAATAATACAAATAGCAATAAAAGGTGTTTCTTTTCCAAACAAAAAATTTCAAAAAAGCTAAATATTGAGATATCGCATTATAATATAATTCACGCCAAGTAAATATATATATTTAAAAAAATATTAAAATTCTTATATTCTATAAAAGTAAGAATGAAGTACAGTGATTGATAAAAAAAAAATAAATAAAAAATACCAATTTCAAAATATTGATATGAAAGCAAGCTACTGCAATTTCGTGCATTTTTTCAACTTTAAATAATTTATATGAGAAAGCGTACGCAAACAACACACACACACGTACACACGGAAGTGAAGTGTTGAAAAAGTAAAAAATAATTAAAATAACCACAAAAAACAATAAAAATAAATTCAAACAAAAAATGATTGTAGTTCGATAATGAAAAGAATGAACTAATGATGCATTTTTTAATATTTTTATATATATACATTATCAATTTTTACATTACTTTAGTTATAGTCATTATAATTATTGATTTCAGATATTACAATAAATATAAAAAAATGTAATAACAACAACAAACAATAAAATTACAATAAAAAGCTACTACACGCTCTCTTTTAAAATTCGCGTAGGATTCTTCTAGTTTTTCTAAACTTTTTTTATATTTATTTCTTTTTAAAGTACTATTCCCTGCCCTGCTGTGAGTGGTTGCGGTGTTTCATTCATGGCCCGTCTCCATTTGGAAGCCTGCACCCATTTGCACTTGATATTCGCTTCAGCTACTGCCGACAGCAAGTTTTCGCCTAGTGTTGCCTTGCCGCATATGCTTAACGAGTCATAATCCCAACGCATACAGTTCGAGTTCTCCTTGATTTTTTCGATAGCATTCCATGCTATCATAACACCGTTATCCGAGCAGTATTTCTTTGAGGGTCTATAAGCTTGGCAATCATAGTGCGTGGCCAAATGGGAGAGGTCGTTGAAAATATAGTCGTTATTAGCCACACCGCCGGAGACCACAAGTGAGCGTGGAGCATTCCCAAACCATGGAATAGTGTATTCCAGCGCGCGTTGCGTCCGATTCATTAAATGGCGACTAACAGCCGCTAGTAAACCAGCACAGAAATCGTGGTATTGGTGGATTATGCCATCTGGTGGCGTGCCTGTTGCAGAGAGATAATAATGTCTTTTTTATTAAGAAGTATGGAAAATATGAAATTTCATATTATCGAACCTTCTTGCCGCTCCACTGCGCGTATATTACGAAATGAATTATTTTTAATACCCGCGAAGCTAAAATTGCAGTTTCGGTCACGCGCCAGCGGTAAAGGAAACTCAAATCTAGAAGGATTACGAGCATGCTGAGCTGCATCTTCCACTGCTCGACCGCCATTCCAATGCTCATACTTAGGTAGCAGAAACAAACGCAGGCGTCGTGCTATTTTATCAAACGCTTCACCTGGCGCATCATCCAACGTTTCGCCGAGTAGTGAAAATTTACTCGGGCTGCGCACGAAAACCAATTGGCAATGTCCTCCGCTTATAAGGAGGCAAAGAAAAGGGTAGGGTATGTTTTGTTCCATGCGTGCCTGCAAAGCATGAGCTTCCATGTGATGCACCGGCACCAAGGGTTTCTTATATTTACGCGCTATATGTTTGGCGAAACGCAGCCCTACAAGCAAACTAAGTGGTAAGCCTGCAAGCAAACATTCACATACATATGTATGTATAAGGTACAATAAATTTATATCTATAAATATAATTTCAAACCTGGTCGGGTTGTAACACCAATCGCATCTAGTTGTTCGGGTGTCATTTGTGCCTGTGCAATACAGTTTTCAAACACTTCCGCGATCTTTGCGCGATGTAAATCTTGTGCACGTGGCGGTATAATGCCGCCATACCTGCCAAATTAAATAATAAGCTTAAATTAGTCTTATTTATTATTTATAGGATAGGCACTAACCTTGTGTGGAATTTCTGCTGTGAGTTCAAGACATTTCCGAGAACTTCGCCGTTTTGATTCAACAGCGCAATGCCAGTGTCGTCACAAGACGTTTCGATGCCAAGTACACTTAAATGACGCGCTGTTGTAATATTCTGTACGCTATTTCTTAAAACTCTCAGCATTTGTATTGTTAAATACATTAATGAGCAACTATACATTAATTAAAACTCATCAGTGGTGATTATCATCAACCCCCACCTTTTTACGCTTACATATTCAATTGAAAACAAACAGCTGATAGGAAATCAAAACAAACACCTGCAAGTGCTGCCAATCTATTTTAAACAACAGCGGTATTTTACAATCAGTAAATCTAGGTATTTATTCAAATTTACACATTAACAATTCAATTCGGCACAGGTACTTGGCCATTTATTAAATTAATGTTCATAATATATACGATAATAAACAGTTTTCGAACGAAAGAGGCTATAGCGGTTGCTAAATTTCAACAGATATACTCCCTCTCCCGGATACGTATGTGAACCCACGTAAACTTCATTGAAACAATCGCGCCGATATTCAGGCACTATGGGAGTTATAAATGGTTTGGAGTTATTGCTTTCCTCCAATAATTCAAGATCCCTACTCACAGAACCGCTTTCTAGATCTTCGTTTGCTGAAACGGTATCATCTTCAGGCACATCATCCTCATCTGCATCGCTATCACTTTGTTGCACAACGACATCTGTTGTTGTTGGTTTACTCCATTCAAAAAATACACCGAAACTAATATCATAATTGTCACTTGCGAACTCCCAGTAAATGCTTTTACCATTTGGTATAGTTGGTACGCGTACCTGTAAATTAGTTTCGAGTTAATATTTCTGTAAAAAAAAAAATACGCAAATAAGAACACACCGTTACACAATCGCCATGTTCCAAACGTAGCACGCCGTCTCCTTCACAGCTCGACACTTGGAGTTTAAATTCTTCAATATCTGGACGCGTCCACATTCTTGCAGGTTCTAATATTAAAAAATCATTTTGGCTACTATCATCTTGCTGTTGCTCGTCGCTGGGAATTTCGTCCAATGCACTTGAGTTGCTAGCAGTATCTCCAATTTGGTTAGACAATAACTTACTGCCACCATCGCTCGCTTCACCGCTAATATTCTTTTGATCCATAACAATTTGTACTTTATTGTGCATATGCAGCTGTTGCATGTATTGATGGTAATGCTCCTCTTGCAGTTGTCTTATAAGTATAGCCTGTTGGTCGGGATTGCCAGGAAATTGTTTCTCAGCATAACTCTATAAATAATATTAAAGCGTAAATGGCTAAGTTTTGGAAAATATACTTACAAAAATACCTTAAATTGCAGAAAAGTTTGCTTATTCAACGCATCTTGCAGTTGACGCCGTTGCATTTCCTCTTTATAGCCCTCTTCTAGAATTTCCTTTTGCTCGCGTTCCTTCTTTTCCCTCGCCAGTTTTTCCTCTTCCATGCGTCTTAGTTCATCTTTTAATTTTTCATCACGATTTTGCTTAACGGCCTCGATATATGGACGAAAAGCAGTACACATATTATCCATTAGATCGATGAAACCTTCCATAGCCTGCTCCTTACTTATGTCCCCGAGAAGCTGCCAGTGCATGCGCCGATCCCGACCAATGACGTCGAGTACACCCAATTCAGGTGCGTTTTTGGCGTCAAACGGACCCATTGTGGCTTGTTGCTTAAAGGCAATTAATTTTAAATTATCCTCATAGGAAAGGTGTAATGCCTTGCCTGAATTTTCTATTATGAGAAAAGAAACACGTATTAGCAGCTGTTAAACGCTGAGATGTCTTACAAAGTCATATACCGAATAATCAACACATCACCACCACTTACGTTTGTAGAAATTCAGCGCCAGACGATAAAGTTCCAACAAAGGAAATCCCCATTTTTCTAATGCTGTCGCTTGCTGAGCGCTGTCCATTTTATTTGGATTATGCCTCGAATGTTTTTATTTTAGCTAAGTATATTTTTATTCTAAATTATGCAGACATTGTAGTAATATGTAAAAGAATTTATGTATTCCCGAATGCAGTGTATACAAAAAACAGTACAGAATAGTGTTGGAGGGCGAGCGATTGTCAAAATGAGACAAATGTCAAATTCTATATTGAAAACTAAAAAGCGATTAGAATTGCCTAGATGATCTTTTGGTTTGGAAACAGTATGTTATGATATTAAAGGCAAAAGCATAAATGTTGTAATTGTGTTTGGTATAAGTTGATGTAAATTCTCTGATTGCACGGCGGTTCCTGACATTTTAATGATGTCAACATTTTAGTTTAATTTCGACAAACAAGCACGGCAACCCACACACGGTGCTGCCTGCTCTCGAATACTCATTCATTCGTCATTTATTCCCCGTTTCGACTTGTTGTGTTTTAACTGTGCGTGCAATTTGCTTGTAAATAAAAGTGAGAGAGAGAGACGAACAAGACAGTGTGTGGTGCAATTCTCAGAATTTGAAAATTTCAGTAAAATCATTATATGGGAAATTGCTTTAAAAGTATAAAATTTTGTGAAAAACTAATATGAAATGCAACATAATTTGTAGTACAAAGAAAATAGCGTTATAATGTTGTGAAAAAATGAAAATAAATGCGTAAATGTGGTTTTCCCAGAAAGGTCAAATTCTAAGAAAACGAATTTCCAAGAATTCGAATTGATCTCTTCTGCTGTTGTATATTGTGTTGTATGTGCATATGTACATGCGCTAGAAGGACGGAGTGTAGATCGCATATATAATTGAAACGAAACGGGAGAGGTGTGTTGCAAGTGCAAGGAGGTGCTGCACGGCCTGCATATTTCTGCGAATTGGACGACTTGCTGGCGCTGCAGTAAAAAACCACCGAAAAGGTGTAGAACTTTGGTTGCTTGTGGGCACATTATTTTATGCTCACTATACATACATATAAGACTTCAGTATGACTGAATTATTTCGCAACTTATGCTCCATAGCATTTGTGGTGTTTTGTTTAACGCTTCACGCATCAGCTTTCCGGGAAGAAGATGTGGGAGAAACGATACCTGCGCATATTGACATTAATGTGGGTGACAGCGTAAATATTTCCTGTCTTATAAATCCGGTCAGATTTAAAATTGGAAATTCAAATGAAAAGCCATGTGAAATGACGTTTAAAAATCCAGTGACAAAAAAAAGTGTACCGGAGGAGGACATTGTGGTCATGAATAGTACTTACATCGTTTATACATTACGAAATGCAACAGAGCAATCTTTAAGACTGCGCTGTTATTGTGGTGGTGACGCGATTGCAGAATCCACTATTTACGTTGGCACCGCGCCACGCGATGTCACCCAATTCAACTGCCGCAGCTACGACTTTGAATATATGGTTTGCAATTTTACACAACCAGAAAATCCAGTACTTACACAATACAATCTTACCTATTACATTAACTCGCCGGATTATAAAACACCCGCTTACTGCAATTTCGACATGAAACCATTAGTTGTTTGCAACATCACTGCAGAGCATTCGTATAGGCCACAGGTCGAAGAGTATCACTTTAAAGTGCACAGCAGCAATCATTTGGGTAGCCATAAACAAGAATTCACAATAAACAACTTAAACGTCATGGTACCAGCGCGACCTGGACAAGATTTTCATATTGTTAAATTAACAACCGATAGCATGGATGCAATTTGGAGTATGCCAAAATATGACTCATACACGCCTAACAAACATCGCGGCTTAAAATGGGAAGTACTCTTGCAACCAGATGGCTTCGCAGTGCGCAATATATCAGCGCAAGTGCGTGTTTTACGTGTTGATCGTGGATGTAAATTATCATTGAGTGACCTACCATATGCTCACTATTCCTATGAACTAAGTTTGCGTGTTAAAGTGCGTACAGCAGTAATCGGTGAAGATATGTGGAGTCCAACATTTAAATATCGGTTTCGTACGCGTCCACGTATGCCAGATCGTCCACCCCGTACCGATAATGGTGGCTTCTATATAAATCCATTGAAGACCGAAGTTCGTCTATATTGGGAGCAGTTGGAAAAGTGGGAAGAAAATGGTGATAACTTCACTTACGTGATACGTGCGATTGAAAAGCGTGCAAATGGACACAGCAGGTGAGTTTATTCTAGTTTAAGTAATAATCCATTATCAAATCATTTTTGACAGTTTATAGCGAATGGTAAATAAACAATTCGTTGTGTTTACTTATAAACATATATGTATATGTGTCACATATGCTGTCAGGCCACCATTGAGAAATTGAAAATTCTGTTAGCAATTTTGCTTTTAATTGGGGTGATGTTCTTTGAGATAAAAATAAAACTTTGTTTTTGTTTGAGGTGACCAACTTTAGTTGTAATTTATGTTTCTGTTAAATCTGAATATCTACATACATACATGTTGAGATGATGTGGCTGCTGGTCATTCATTACCAGCGCACTTAAGACAATAGGCCAATTGTGATATATGTATATACATACATACGTATATTGTATTGCCTATTACAGTTCTTATAGATAAGATATTAAGTAAATTTTTGAATAAATTATAATAATAGTGAATGGGTCAATGGCACTAATATTATATTTCTTGGAATTTGAGTAATGAGTTTCATCAATTAAAAACCAACCGAACACAATAATAAAAATAATATAATAACAATAATAAAATAAAATAAACAATGAATAACATAGCGCGATGTACGCGATTTTTTTTTTGCAAATGTGATAACGTATTTACATACATAAAATAAAATATTTATTTTTGGGTGCATATTTTCTGTACATGCGTGTGATTTCGAGAATAAATATTATACATACATATAGATACACATATGTAGGTACCTACATACATAGATTTACAAAAAAAAAAAGTAAATCACAATTAATCAGACAAGAAATACAACAACCACAAAATATTTGTCTACCAGTAATATGCCAATTTGTCTGTGCTTCCCAAGAATTAATTGTTTAAGTGTTACGAAATGTACATGTATTTATTGTATGTAACATATGTTTGTGTGTATGCGATTTCTATTTAAATTTGATAATTATTTGCGTAAAACACTTCGACATGGCAATGGGTATGTGGTCTCACGCTATAAGTTTGTAAGTACAATACAGGCATGTACATATGTATGTATGATTGCACGTATTCATGTTAAACAAAAACTCTTTTGTTTGTATGTATAAACAAAATTGAGTATTTTTAAGAAAACAAACATTTATACATACATTCACACATTTGTACATGCTTACAGAATTCTTCAATGGAAAAAGTGTTGTTATATGTACAAAACGCAGATTATCATTAAAGATGAAATTTGCGGTTGCTTGCTGAAATTATACAAAAGTGTTTTTTTTTTTCAAGTTTTTCAAAAGAAATTCGGAAATGCCTACAAAAACTACTAGTTTTAGAAACATCAACAACCTATGGATATTATTACGATTATATTGAGAAAGATTGCAATAAATGAACCTAAGAAAAAAAATTTCTAATGAAAATTAAATATGAATAAAAATGGAAATTATACCTATTAAAAATGTTTAAATATTAAAAAAAAATGTATATATATACTTTAAAATTAATTTTTTTTTTTAAATTAAAAAAAACTTAAAGTTAATATAAAAACAAAAATTTTTAAATTTTCCAAAAAGGTGAAAGAATAAACAGCTGGGACTGCACATATATCTCCTGTAAATTCTATAAAAAAAAGAAATAAAAAGGCATAGGACCAATGTTAAAAAAGTTATTAAGTTAAAAAAAGGCACATACGCACATACATACATGGAATAGTGGAGTAAAACCAATAAGTATTTTTCTTAACTTCATTACAGACCTTTGTTGCCACGCCAACAGGAGCCGAATTTCGCAATCTTTGAATGGCACAATGACCTACACTACACATTCGAAATAAGCAGCCGCAATCATATGGGTGAATCTGCCAGATCCAGTCTAATTACCATATATCCGCAAACAAGTAGATCGGTGAAGCAGCATACACCCTACTCTATACACAATGTCTATCATCAGACGAATCGCTCCTATACGTTGACCTGGTTGCCACCGATAGCACTGGAAGGCCTACAAAATTACACGGTTTATTGGTGCTATTCCAAGTTGGCCATGTCAACAGATTGTAGAGTGAGTTAACGCTTAACGTCGATTTGCTATAAATATTATTTATTTACCATTACATTTCTTTCGCTATTTAGGGTTCCATACATTTCCGTCATGTCAGCAGCAAGACACAGCGCTTTGCCACGGAACCTCAAAAGGCTGAACATGATCATTCGCTAACACTCGCAGTTTCAGCTAATTACCTCGGCTACAACACTGGCCTGCACTGGACTTCATGCAGCGTTGATGTGAATGCCGATTTTGAACCTATGGAACCGGAAGTGCTCTCAATTTCCGCTACCGATCTGCGTGTGCAATGGAGTTCGAAGACGGTTTGTCCGTCAATTTTGAGTGGTTACAATCTAACCTACTGTGAGGTGGCCAGTACGCCGGATACCTTTAGCATATCGCCGCCCAGTGTTGGTGGCGGCATGTTTGAGCCATTTAATAGCGGCAAGACGGTGCCAGCAGAAAAAGCTGTCTGCACTAGCATGCCCATTAATGTAATAATCGATAAGAATTCGAATAAATTTAACATAACGGGTCTAAAGCCATACACGCTGTATCGCCTAGAGATGTTTATGTTCTCCAATACTAAGTCGGGCAAGCCAAATGATCCACTCTTGGTACGTACATTTGAGGCTGCACCATCGCCACCACGTAATTTGCATGTATCCCAGTTAACGGACACGAGCGCTAAAATCACCTGGTTGCCACCCAGCGAAACTAACGGTTATATACGTCAGTACATTGTTAAGCTGAATAATAAGGAGTTTGTGGTGAATGCTACAGCTCTGGAAGACACTGACCAGATTAGTTTCCTTCTGCAGAATCTCACCAGTTTTACGGCTTACAAAGTTTTCGTTATTGCCGTTACAAGGTACAAGTCGGATCACAGCAATGACATACACTTCACAACCTATATGAGCGGTGAGTGCTTTTTGATAATTATGTTAAATAAAAAATAATGAAATTAAATGGAAAATGTTGAAATGAAAGAACTAAGGCAAAAATTAGAGTTGAAAATTTTTAGAAATAAAAAAAGGATTAATTTAAAAATATCTGTGATCGGTAATTATCGTAACTTTCGTTCGATTCCGTTTCAGCCATTTGTTTTTTAATATCCTTTTTTTCACAAATTATTTATTGTTCTCAGCCTAAAAGGTTTGACTATTTTACATGTTCTATTTGATTTTTATTTTAATTTTTTTTCCATTTTTATTTTTTTATATTATATTTTTTCTCAGTGTAATTTAAGTTTTAAATTTACTTTGTTTAACTTTTTTCGGTTTTTCTTTATTTTATTCCACTCCATTTCGTTTTATTTCATATCTATTATTTTTATAATAATTAATAAGTTTTTTGTATTATTTATTTTTACTGTATTTTAATATATTTTTTTTTGTTTTTAGTTTTTTTTTTACTTTTACTTACTTTATATATATAAGTTTTTTTTACTTTTTATATTTTTTTGTTAGTTTTTTAAATAATTTTTGTTTTAATTTTATTTAATTTTTGTTATAAGTGTTATTTTTGTTTTATGTTTTTTTGTTTTATTTATTTTTTTTTTGTTTTATTTATTTCTTTTTTGTTTTATTTATTTTTTTTTTGTTTTTATTTTTTTTTTGTTTTATTTATTTTATTTTTGTTTTATTTATTTCTTTTTTGTTTTATTCATTTTTTTGTTTTATTTATTTTTTTTGTTTTATTTATTTCTTTTTTGTTTTATTCATTTTTTTGTTTTATTTATTTTTTTTGTTTTATTTATTTTTTTGTTGTTTTTTTTTTAGTTTTTTTAATGCATATAGTATTTACTATTTAAATTTTTTTGATTTTTATTTATTTATTTATTTTTATTCATTATTTTATTCATTGTTATTTATTTAATTATTTTTTATTATATTATACTTTTTTTCATATCAAATTAATGCTGCCGGGCTTATGCGTAACCGCCTCCTTATGCCAGTCCCTTTTCAATAACCCCTGTTACTCTCTTTTACCCTCTTGTTATACTTTTATCACTTTAGCTCCCTCTAAAATGGGTTTTTCCGAATCGAATTATATGAATCCAAAAGAAGTGCAGTTGAAATGGGCGCCACCCAGCCTGGCCGGCGGTCGTCTGGATTATTACGAGATCGCCGTTACTCAGCTACGCGGCGATTATGTGGAACGCCGGCACATTTCCGTTGTATTCGGCAACAGTTGCGTGCTGCGCGTGCCCGATTGTCCTGATCCCGATTACCAAACCAAAGTGGAAGTGCGCGCAATCAATGCGGCTTCCATAGCGAACAACGAGGTGAGTTCACTTGAGGTTCTAGCGCATAAAACCGAGTTCGATAGGGATGCACACAATTATCAGGGCAATGAAGAGTTGGTTTGCAAGGGTCAAAGTAAAGCGGCGGACATGGAGCATGAAAAGGCGAATTTCGATCGTTTTCATGTTAAAAATAATTATGTTCTTTACAAGTCCGATTGGCATCCGCTCACAAGTTTCGGTTGCGCACAACGTCAGCTGGGTAAAATTACAGTTATTACTTTGATGGTCGTCTGTACCTCGCTGATGCTGATGGCGCTCATGTTCTTCGGCACAAAGAAATGGAAAATGATGAGCGATATACAGTGCACGTTGCCAGCCGCTTTGGACGCGTACCTCACCAAGGAGCTCAATGGCGGTACCGGTGGCTGCGGTTTGAACGGCACGATTGTTAATGGCAATGTGCTCAATGATTTCCTGACCACGTCGACGATGCGTAATGCCAGCACGCCACCACCGCTGCATAACAGCAACGAGCGGCTGCACAATGAAGAACACCATTTGTTGGGCGCGCATAAGAATGACTCCGGTTATATTGGCGATGGTCTACTGTTTGGACGAAGCATTAGTGCTGTGGCGGCCAAATCGACTGAGAATGACAGCAGCGAAGAGGACTTCGGTGGTGAACATAGACGTAATTATGCGCTTTCGGAAAGCTCAGCGGACTCACTCATCGGTAGTTCGACCAGCAGTGGCGGCGCTGTTGGCGATGTGGAGGCACAGGACGTATTACCACTTCAGCGCATACAGGAGGAGGCTGCCGGAGGTACAGGTTATATACAGGCGGGTGAGGTACAACAAGCGGCTGCGTTGGGTGGATATGTTACTGCGGCCGATTTCAATTCCTGGGCAGGGCAGTCAAAAGCGCAACCAACAGTCGTACAAGCAGCGTCGACATTACAAAATGGCTATATTCAAGCAGGGGCGCTAGTTCCTACAGAGACACAAAAGACGTCAGCCGCAGCACCACCGGCAGTAGCCATTTTCAGTGGCTACATAACGTCCTCAGATTTGAACAAGTGGCAAACACCAGCAAATCCATCAGCTGCGATGGCACAAAACGCCAAGTCCTCTGAAACCGCCTGTCACAGTGGATATATAAAACCCTCAGACTTGCAGGCGCACAGCTCATTACCGCCGCAGCCGCAAGATGTCATTAGTAATGCGATTATGTCTGGAGATTATGTTCAAGCAAGCGATTTATCCGCAGCAATGGCAGCTAGAACAGCTCAGTCACAACAACAACAACAACAACACAGTCCGAATAATGCGACTGGCACAGCAGCACCACCACCGCCAATGGCCAACAACAGCGGTTACATAACGGTCGATAGCCTCAAGGCAAACGTGACGGCAAGTCTGTCGGCAGCGCCAACACCAACACCAACACCGCAACCTTTGACTGCAAAGGCCAATACCGCATCGACGCCTACACATGCTGCCGCCACTACCGCTACCGCCGCTGCCTCCACCAGTGGTTATGTGCAGCCAAGCACGCTACAAGCATTACTGCTAAACGCGCCGCAGCCGACTATGAGTGCCGCTGGGCAGAACAACAGTGCGCCAGCCACCAATGCGAATTTCACGAATTTCAGTGGGTATACGTCTCTAGATGCGTTGGAAAAACTGACGCCAACGCAAGCACTGCCTAACAGGCATTTGATTGAGCCGGCCGATGCCAATAAGCCTGGACTTATTGGTTATGTAACGCAAAGGGAAATGAATGAGTTTGGGCAACAACAACAAACACAGTAGGTCGAGAGAAATAGTACTAGTAGTAGAAGAAGAAGAATTATAATGAAATTAAATGGTTAAAGTTGCTAATTTACATTTTCGCAAGAACCTAACCTCAAATTCGGGGTAAGAAATTCAAAATTTTTGCAAATTGACTGAGCTTGAAGACGCGACGCGGCTCTCAGCTGGAAAAAGCAGAGTGGAGTGGTTGTTGTAAATTTTATCTACGCCGCAAATGTGTCGCTTTTGTAAAACAGACTTTTTAAATAAAACATTTTCTAAAGGCTATCGCATAGTATTAATATATATGACATTATGTTTTAAAATTTGTAAAATTTATTATTAAGCTTAGATTTTAAGCAAAAATGATTTTAAATATTTTTTTTTAATAATTTACAAAAGTTTTAACAATTTTATACAAGTTTCTAAGGAAATTTAAGAAAAAGCTTCTCATATCATGTTCCGTCACCGAATTGCTCGCACAGTGGTTTGTGCAGAGCTTGTTGCTTTTATTGCTATTTATTGAGTTTTTTGTAGTTTAAAAATAATGCTAAAATTAATAAATTATATATATATGTTGAAAACTTAATTTTTATGCTAGAATAGAAACGAAAAATTATTGTGTCTTATCGGAAATTAAAAATATTTAATATGGTTACTTTTTAGTTTAGTTACGCTCAGAATTCTTTTCGTATGGAAATGAAAGTTTCTAATTTACGCAAATAAAATAATTTGTTAATTTGTCTGGTAAAATTTTTGCGCAGAATAAAATGTTTATTATATCTGTAATTTTTTTTTTTAACAAATGTTCGAGTGGGCACTAGTTTCATTATTTTTTTTTTTTTTTTTATAATTTACCAACAAAATAACAAGGTTTTGAAAATACGAGATTAACATTACACACGTACAAACATTGCAAATAAAGTGCTTAATAATAATGTGTTTGTACCTAAGTACAAATAAAAAGCTATTCAAAAGTTAAGTAATGTATTTAAGTTGGCTCATATGTATGTATACAACAAATGAAGCTATATTAAGAAATTACATGTCAAAATATCAAACTGTATAAAAAATGAATAAAAATTGTAGAAAACGCCGAACTAAACTACAAATCAAAAGGAAATATTTTTGAAAGTTAATTAAGTAAAGTACATATGTATGTATGTATATGTGTACATGCAAATATGTATATTTGAAGAAAAAAATGTATGTTTATATGTTTATGCAAAAATAATAACGTAAAGAAACGATTGCTGCTTATAGAAATTTAAAAACGAAAAAAAAAAATAAATAATTTTAAAAAAAAAAAATTCCGAAAAATTAAAAATGCTAAAATATATAAAGAAAAGGATAAAATGAAAAATTGTGAAAAAATTGAATTTTATGGTTCATTCTGGGTTTACGAAAAATTTAATACCAGTAAAAAATAAATACTTAATTTTAGAAATTCTGAATTTTGCAAGATTACATTTTGTGAATATTGCATAAATGTCTTGGCGCTGCAGTTTTTCTGTTCCTATAGATTAATGAAGCTATAAATTATGCATATTTACATACTGAATATTAAGAAACCACACACATAAATATGTTCCATAGAAATGTAAAAGCATGAAATATTTTCAAAGCTACATAAAAAAAAATTAAAATTAATTGCTGCTTAAATATGTATCCATGCATTTACATACGTATCTATAATGTTTAATTTCGGAAAGAAAAACATGTTGAAAATTATAACTTTTTTAACATATTTTTTTTGTTTTAAAATTTTAATTTAATTTATTTATTTTTTCCATTTATGATTTTTTCATTATTAATCTCAGCATCTTGTCTACTTAATGCTCAAAAATGTTTATGTATAACGAAAACGTTCCAGAAATAATATATAATCATATTTTATTTTCGTTTTTTTTTTCGAAATAAAATTTTGTTACAAATATAATAATTGGCGGTTTGTTCAGTAATGTCGTGTTCTCTTTATGTTTTACACTGTTATATTAACTAATTTTTTATTACTAATTTTGTCATGAGTTCTTACTTATCTAATTGCTTTGAACGCACACACATATATATATATATATATTTCCCGCCAGTATATTATATTATATTTTAAGTAATAAAAGCTGAAATGACGGGACATCTGTTCATCATAATATGATATAATATGTAGTATATATAAACATGCATACGTATGCACATACATGCATATGTATAATAAAGATGCTTGCATGTATGTAATTATCTTAGAAATATATAGAGTTCCAAGAAAAGTAAACGAAGGAGGACAAACTAATGTCAGCGCCGTTGTTTTTCAACTAACTCTGTACATATATGTACATATGTATGTATAATCGTATATATTGAGAAATCACTATTAAAACAAACGACAGCAACAACAAAAGTATTACAAATTAAATAAATTATTTTTTATGAATAAACAATAATAATAAAATGATATATGTATGTGTGTACGAATATATACATATATATGTACATACATACATACATATAAACTTAAACAATTTACACTGTGTGTCACCATCATTTATATACATACATATATTTTTACATACCGACAAACATACATACATACATACATATTATATACTAATGCATTTGCCTTCATGAAATTTTAATAGTTTCTCTGTAAGAGTCAACTTACATATGTATGTATGAATATCTGTAATTTCAAAAAAATCTGCAGACAATTTTTTTTCTCGTTGTTTGCGTCATTGTTATCTCAACGCTCAAATGTGTTATCATTCATGTTTTATTAACATTTACTAGCGTTAATCACCCAAAACCCAATGTTAATATCTATGTATGTATTATCAAGATGAAAGTTGATAAAATCTATTATATTAAAAAAAAATAGAAAAAAATTGGTTTTAAACTAAAGAAATCAGTTTATTGTTTAAAAATATCGAGAAAAAAAATGTATTATTTTTACAAATTTTTAAAACTAGATTTGATGGTCAATAGTTATAGACCTATTTTCCTTGGATAAAATTATGCTAAAATTCTAGTAATTTTACTGTATTATGTAGAAGTTTGATTTGTTTTCATTTTTATTTCATTCAAACTATCGATATAAATATTCATTACCTGTTCTAGGTCAATTTAGTTATTAACTTTTTCACTCAAGAATTTTATTTTTTTTTACATCTATGCATTTTGTATTTCTCTTCCTTTATTTTTCAAATTATTATTTTATTATTATTTATTTAATCCTAATAATTTATTTTTTTTTGTATTTATCTTCGATTTTTCCATTTTACATTTTTGTTTATAATATTTTATTTTAAATTTATTTATTTTTTCATTTTATTTTTTATTTAAATGTTTAATTTTTTATATGTTATGTATTTATTTATTTATGTTATGGATGTAATAAAAAAATGTTTTTTATTGTATTTTAATCTATTATTAAACTTTTTATTTAAATTTAATTTAGGTTTTATTTTAATTATATTTTATTATTTTGACTTTTAAATATTTTTTTCCCATGGTTTAAGTTTTAGCGTTTTTTAATTTTATATTCTGATTTAGTTATTTTATTATTTATTCTATTTTTCATACATGAATCTTATATAATATTTGTTAAATTATGTTTTATCTTAAATATTAAAATATTTGTTATTAATTTTTTTTGTTACATTTTATTTTTATTTTTTTTGTTTTATTTTAAATTTTTTTTATATAGTTTAATTTTTTATGTGTAAAAAAAATTTTTAATTTTATTTTGTTTCATGTTTTTTTTTAGTTTTTCAATTTAATTTTTGTTTAATTGATTTTTTCAATTAAATTTTATTACCCATTTAATTGTTTTTTTTTTTGGAATATTTTTTTATTATATTATTTTTAATCGCTTTTAGTCGTTCATATTTTATAATTTTTTAACTTCATTCTTAATTTTTAGAATTTTTTGGTTTTGTAAAAAAGATGTGACCATCAAATTACTTTTTACGAATTTGTTTTTATTAAAGTGAAACATTTTTTTTATATTGCCTTTTATTGCTTTTCTATTTATTCCTTGTGGCCTTGTGTTTTACAAAACAAAAGTAAATATATGAAACAACTACAACTATAATGTTCTAAATAAAAGGAAAAAAGAAAAAAAAATATATATACATATATAGTATTATATATGTAAACTAATTTTTATGATTATTAGATATTTTTTACTTTAAGTTAGCAACTAAAATGTATTATATGTAAGAAAAAAGAAAGAAAAACTTAACAATAAACGCGAATATTTATGTATGTGTATAAAAACGAGAATTGTGTTTTCATGGAGTCGAAAGGTTTTTTGGGTGTTTGATGAATTCTTAAGTGGTTGGTACTTTTCGCAGAAGGAAAGAAAATTTTGGTTCTGAGACTTGAAGCATATTTTGTTACTAGTTCACATATATGTACATACATACATATTATTTATTATTATTTTTTTTTCTCCTACAGAAATTTGTGAGGAAATTTGGTCAGCTGACTTGTAGGCGAAAGATTTTGTGACGTCAGCAATTCCTTAGATTTCCGCATAATAGACTCAGCTGCGCAGTAGTGAGTATCTAAAGTTGATCTTTAAAGTCCTTAACTTTCTGCAAGCTCACGTTTAAGCATGTTTTTAACAATTGAATTTCATTCCTGGAGACATCACCATTAAAATAATTGCGTTTTTTCGCTGCTTTATTCAGTTTCAGCAGAATTTATTATTGAAAACGTCAAGTGTGCAACAATTAAAATTCGACAAATCATTTCAGCGAATTTTGCTTATCTTCCTTCCTTCTATAGAAGAAATGTGCATCTGTTGTGTTTTTATTCAATAAAATTCTTATCATTGTATTTCCCGGTAATGAACCCAAAAACGTGTGATCTCCATAAAAGGTTTCCGCTGAAAATTTGAGTTTTTTAATGGAAAAATATTCAGTTTTTTTTAATATTTTTTGCGATAAAGTTTGTTTTATTCATAAGAATTGGGAAATAACTGTTGCTTAGGGATGTTTTACTTTTTCCTGCTAAATGCTAAAATTGGAGTTTTTAATAAAAAACACGAATTTCTGAGTGGTTTTTAGAATAACAGATCTAATTGAAAATTTGTGGAAAAGTTTAAATGTCATGAGAAATAAATATTCATGTATATTGAGTCTAAAAATTTATAAAAAAATTCAATTTTAAAAATAAATTGAAAAAAAAAAATTCAAAAATTAAATTAAAAAAAATAAAATTTCAAAAATTTAAATAAAAAAAAAATAAAATTTCAAAAAATTAAATTAAAAAAAATAAAATTTCAAAAAATTAATTTAAAAAAAAAAATAAAATTTCAAAAAATTAATTTAAAAAAAATAAGATTTCAAAAAATTAAATAAAAATAATAAATATTTGTTTAATTAATATTAAGGTACCAGACAGTTAATATTTCCGGAAAAAAATTGAAATCTATATTTTTTCAATCGAAAGTCTAGTTTCTAAACAACGTAATTTTCTCTGCAAATTTTTTATGGAAATATGCATATACATATATCTTTTTAATTCAAAAAAATAACTAAAGCAATAGTTATTATAGCACTTAAAAACTGATTCTTATTACTGAAAGTTTTTTTTATTATTTATAAAAATATTTTTTATAAAATATTCATAAATAAATTGTATTTCTCAAAAAGTTCTAAATCAAAAAAAGTGCAAAATTATTACAAAAATTTTGTTAAAAAAATTTAACAAATCCAAGAACAAATTTTTGAAAAGAATTAAAATGTTAATATATAGAAAAGAAAAGCAAAATTTTCAAAGGTTAAAATACCAATATTAATAATAGACATTAAAAAGATATTTTTAATAATTGAAATAATTTTCAAAATTTTTATTTATTATTCTATTGGTTAATAGTTAAAACTTGCACAAGAATAATAGCATATTACACTACTTACCGCGGAAAAAATCTAAAAATATATTCTTCACAAAAAAATCATTTTTTATATTTTTTATTTTCATATATATTTAGTATAACTGTAATATATAGGTATTATAGTTTAAAGATATTTTATTTCAAAATTTGGGGATGTTTTTTTTTTTCAAATTACATACAGATATATTTCAGCCATTATGCATTTGATAATCATTAAACATTTCTTTTTTAACCATTTTGCTTATTTAAAGCAATTTTTTAAATATTTTTGTTAAATGACATTAAAAAATAATAGCTTTACGCTGTTATAGAATACTTGTAGTTGAGATAAATTTCGAATTGGTTATTTATTTGCGATTATAGTTTTGTAGCTCATTTGCGCTCATTTTTCTATTTATTTATGCAATAAATTCTAACAATATTTTTTTGTTTTATTCTTCGATACTAATTTCCAGTCGCTTAAGGCGAACGTATGATAGCTTCGTAGGCGGCGAATATCATTGGCGCCACCTCTACTGAACGCGACTTCAAACTCAAGGTAGCATCTGGATTACCAGGCTGCAACTTTAATTCGAGCAGAACCCAAATGTTATTGGTCAACTTGAGTGATTGATACAACATATCCTGACCCTCAACATTACGCTTAGCAATGGTGAATACATTATTGGTTGTCATTTTCGAGGCAATGCCATCGGTGGTTCCAATTACACCGCTCAAACTGTATTGCACCTCATTGGCGGCGGGTATTTCCTTCCAAGTATTCAAGAAGACGCGCTTATCCAGCTGCCCATCCTCGGCAAAGAGCACATTGCCGTGCACGAGACAAGCAAAGTAGAATATATCAATATTGTTCTTAACGGCCACTTGTAAATTATTGAGCGGTTCCATGCGTTGCACTGGACCATGTGTACCCAAGGGTAGTGTAGCCTCGGTAGTCTGATTTGGTGGCACTGGCGCAACTTGCATGGGCGAGGCTGGCAATAAACCGAAGCTATTCTTATTCAACTGTATAGCAAAGTTGCTCATGGGTTGCATGGCTTTGTTGGTAAGCGTCATATCCATGAAAATTTCTCCATTACGACGCGAGAATGTGCCTTGTATTTCAAGACCTTTGCCCTTTTCGGCGGGTAGCCAAACGATTTTCGGTATTTGCACGCCCGCGCTGAGCGAGGCGCCAGATAGGCCGAATATGTCGCCCAATAGGCTGGTTGCTCCACCAGCCGCTGGTTCAGCAGGCCCACCGCCAAGCTATAAGTTGAAGAGAAAATTATCAAACACAATATAGTTAAGTTTTCGTCTGTAAGCTTACCAAAATATCCAAACCGCCGCCGAGCAAATCAACATTGCTGGTTGTTGGTGCAGCCGCTGGCATGGCGGGCGCATTTATATCCATAGACAACAGATCGCCAATCAGCGACTCTTGATTTGGTATAACCATGGCTTCACCACCAGCCTCTGGCTCAGCAGTGCCGGCGGTGGGGGCGCGATTTGGCAAAGACTTGCGCACACCGGCGCCGCGTCCCTCAACAAAAGCTGTTGGTGGCTTGTGATAAACGCTGGCTAAAGAGCTGATGTGACAAATCAACTCATCCAAGAGTGTGGGTTCCAACAAATCAGTTTCCTCTGAAATCAAAGGCTTGTCAGCCAGTACTACTTCTTTCGCAGCAGCCGGATCAGTGGATAGTAAACGCCAGTATATAAAACCGCGATCACGCAAATCTGGATTATCAGAGTCTTGTGTAGCCAATGAGAGCACATGCTGTACGAGCTCTTGTGTGTCTGATGGACGCTTCAAGAACAACTTCACTACAGCGGTAAGTAATTGTAACTGCACTTGCGCATTTTCATCCTGGAAGCCCTCCAAAAAACTATCCAGCAATTCATCGGCGTTATCTATGCGCTCAGCATATTCGCCAATGATCCAAACCATCGATGCGCGTGCCTCGGGTTCATCCAGCGTATCAAGATTTTCACACAAAGTGCTAATGATGCTCTCATATTTATTGGGATATTTGCGGAAGATATCCTTAATGACAACAATGGCTTCTTGGACAACGTAGTTGACTTTCGTTTGTATTAAATCGAGCAAAGTGGAGACGCAACGCTCGGCAGAAGGCTCCACCTAAGAATATATATTCTTTTTATAATATTTTCTAATTTTTTATTTCATGAACCTTACCTTAATAGCACAGCGTCCAATGGCTCGCACGGCCTTACGCACAAAATCAACATCCACCTCTGTGGCATATTCCTTTAACTCGCTCAAGACTTGTGCTATATTGGTCTGATTAGCTAAACGTATCATAATATCTAATTTCTCCAGCTTCACATAAATGGGATCATTATATTTGACAAAGAATACTTTCATCTCATGCTTAAGTATGTCTGGCCGCTTTTGAACAATCAAATTAATGTTGCGTAGTGCCACATATTGGACTTCGGGCTCTGATGAAAGCAGTGTAACTAAAGGTGGTGCCAACTTTTTGGTGAGTGTTGCACAAAAGTCACTATCATTGGAAAGCATTTCTAATAATTTCATCAACACCTTTACGGCGCTCAAAACAACAGCGGCATTGGCGTGTGCCAAACGTGGCGTAATACGTTCACAGATAGATTGGGCCTCACGTTCATCCTTGGGACTGTAATTAGCCAGAGAATCGAGTATAAATACCTGACCCCATTCGGTGCATTCATTTAGCGCTGTCAGCAATTTATTGATGGTCACAGAGTTCATTTCAACCAATGGTTGACCAGATTGACTGGCTTCGTTGATTTCGCTAAGTGCGGCAACGGCATTAGCAACCACCATGGGATTGGAATCAGAGAGCAAGTCCTTGAGTTGATCCAAAAAGCCTTGATCTTCAACCTACGTTAAAAAAAAATATGTTAGCTATCTTATAATTTTGTACATGTGGAGAATTTACCATTGAGGAGGAGATATCATAAAGTTTGGCAACACAAACAGCCGCAGTTTTGCGCACATAGGGATCTTCATCCTTCAAGCACTTACGTAGTGGCTCACATAAATATTCGGTTATCTTATCGACACGTATGCAACCCATTGTGCGAACAGCTAATGCGCGTATAAGAGGATTGGAATCTTCGCAGTCCTAACATGCGTATTTGCATAAATCAAATTAAGTTAATCAAAAAGAAAAGAGTTTCCGTTCAACACTCATTTACCTTCACAAATGTATTAACAGCCATAATTGCCATATCAGGTTGAGATTTGGCGTAGTTCATTAAATACAAATAAACCAATTTTTTTAACTCCAGATTATCGGTCTGCATGCAGTTGACCACGTCAGGAAATAATGCAGACACATCTTTGCCGACAGTCATACTGGCGATGACCTTTAATGGTAAAAATTCTTATAAGTGGCTAATCACAATATTGGTTTTCTCTAAGTCGTCATACCTTCTTTACTGCTTCCTTTTTCTTCTCTTTCTTGTCATTATTCAACTCTGATTTGAGTTCGAAGATTTCACCTTTCTTGGTGGTTGTAAAATACTTGGAGTCAGTCATATTTTAATGTAGCGATTTTATCTGCAAAGTAAAGGGATCAAGTTTATTTATGAACAAATGATATTTATAATCATAATTGGGTTTAAAAGAGTTTATTCCCACGTTAGACCAATTTGATCAATACAACTCCCACTGATACATTTAAACAAACGCGTATACAAATTTTTATGCCACTGAGTGCCAGCGAAGTCTCACTTTTCGGCAAAGGGGCGTTGAGCAATGAATTTTTTGCACATTGTTTTTTTATCACCTACTCTGCATGTTTACGAAAACTTTTTTTATGTGCAGAACATTCATAAAGTTATTTAACTGTCACAACACATATTTGCGAATTTTACCTTGATTTAATAAGAAAATTATGCTTTTTAATACGTCCACGAAAATTCTCTAACAATGCAAAGTAATGATTTTTTTCCAGCTGTGTTTATTGTGCATACGTGAAATGTCATTTCATATGGCAAATGTATCGATATGTAAGGGCTTATCGATTTTTTGATTAGTTGCAATTGTGTGCCATTGCCGTGGTAGGAAACGGAAATGAAAATGTGTAAACCGGAAAATCGGGAAAAATGCGGAGAATCCCGATATTTTAATTTGGCTCTTCTTGAATTATCAGAGCGCATCTGAAATTAGATAGGAAATAACGTCGAAATTATTCGATTTGGTGGTTTAAAGCTCTCTCGCTTTGGTTGAACGACTTTATATGTCAATCTAAAATTTAAACTTGGAAAACAAAAGTACGCAAAAGGATTTTTGTACTAGAAAGTCCAAATCTCGTTTCGTTGTAAGATTAAAATTATTATTTGCTTTCAAGTGGCATTTATGGAAGACTTTTTTGTTTTTAATTTGCAACGTCAAAACAAGTTTTGAATTTTGCATAATTAATTTATAAATTTAAAAATAAATTACGGGGGGAACATCTGTACAACTTGCTAAATTATCATGTATTAAGAAAGAACAGAACATCTGTAATTAATGTTAGCAAACAAATTTTTATTTTAATCTTTATATCTTTTTATTTTCTTTTTAATTTTTTTATTTTTTAATTTTAAATAGTAATTTAAGTATTCAATGATTTTTATCTTTTTAAAACGTTTAAAGACATAATATAAATAAAGACAAATGTACAATAACGAATTGAACATACTCACATTTTGTAGCAATTTCTTAAATAATTTGTTTAAAATTAATGCATGCACGATATTTATAGATTTTATAACAATTTTCCAAATTCCTGACTGATATATTTATATTTTTACTTTTTTGTTTGGTTGGTTTCTGCAACTTTTTCACTATATTTTGTCATCAAATACAGATAAATTCTTAAGTGGTTCTGTTAAATATGTCGTCTATTTATTTATTTCTTATGTTTCTATGTTTGTATTTTAATGTTAATATTTCCATGGACTTTAATTTTTTGTTATTAGTCGGTAATTCAAATACATCACTGGATTTGCAATAAATTTTCAGCTTTCTTGACTGTTATGAAGTACAATTTAATTACAATATATAATAATTAATATTAAAAGTTTTTAATTACCATTTAAGTTAGCTTTTTCAGTTAATAATTTGTTAGTCTATTTTAATAACGGTACATACATGTTATTTAGCAATTCCACTTTATTTTAACTTATATTTTACACTTAAGTTGCCAATGTTTCAAAATTTCTATAATTTATTTATTTTAATTTCGATAAAATTTTTGCTTTGTTTATTTTAAATATACTGTGAAAATAATTTTCGTGTGCAATAATAATTTCAATAAAATTCAGTCTTTTTAAATAAATAAAAAACTTAGGTACATTTATTTCAGCTGAAAATCATTTGAATCAGTGTAGTAAGGTTATATTTTGTTACTTTTTCTTTCCAGTTTTTTAGGCTAGTCGGTGTGGACTTTACTTATTTAACATTACGATAATTTTCAAAAATAGTTTTTGCTGCATGTCCTTTTAAATGATATCTGTTTTTCTTTTGAGTTTCGATTGTTCCTCTTTTGTAATGGCTGTTTAGAAAACTTGATGCAGCATTTTCTTAGTTGCTCTGATTATCAATAACTGTAGATAGTCGCTGTGGAGGCGGTTCGCCTGACTCAGCTTGTCGCAGAAATTAGAATGGAAAACATTATAAAAATAAAAAGTCGAAAAATACCATTTTTTCCTTAAGTTTTTGTATATTTGTTGTGTGTTTGGAAAGTTCACATTCCCTCATTCGCATTCTGTACTATACGATTTCTCTTTATTGCTGTTTTAGTTTCTGTGTATATGTTATAACTCTTTCATTAGCAAATTTAATAAAAATTTTTAAGTGTAGATAGTTTTTTATTCAGTTATTTTCCATTTGTTTCTTTTTTCAGGTGGTATCGACTTTTTGTTTTGCTCTTAGCGCATTTGAATCTGTTCTGCTATGGAAGTACAATGTTATAAGAGTGAGTGCGTTATCTACATGGTGGTAGCATTTGATATTGTTATTGTTGTTGTTTGTGCATTTTTCGATAATTAGTTAATACACCTGCAACTATTTTGTAAAATGATGAAATATTTCATGTTTGTGTGGTTTCTTGAGTGTCAATTATTTATCGACATTTGTAGTTTTTTACTAAACACATCACAATCTACAAATATCGAGAACTTTAATCGATTAACATGCCTTTGTGGTCATTTTGTCATTTTGTAAATGGCGGTCCGTTAGAATATACATCCGGAAAATTCGACGAAACGCGTATACCATTATTAAGTAAATTGAAATTTTCGCATGTCAAGAAAGGAGAAATTGAACAAAATCAGTGTGAATCTTGAAAAGAACATTCGTGTACACAAATGGGGGCACTTAGACTTGTAGTTGGTGCTTATAATATCGCAAAAAAAGTGAATAGTGTAGTGGCGTGTCTTGTTAAAGTTACATATTTAGCGAAGAAGAGGACAATTAATGAAAGTCTGTCCAATATATAGCCATGAATAAGCTAAACTGGTTTGCACATTAAGGTAAGTGACACTTTCACATTAAGCCAACTCATTCTTTCTTTAAAACAAAAACTTATAATCTAGCAGAAATTCGTCCGCGCATTCTCACGTTCATTTAAATAACATTTTCTGCCTTTTTACATAAGACCACAGTGATTTTTTTTATTTGTTTGCCAAAAAAGATATGTTTTGTTTCTGTCGTTTCAGTTATTAAATACTTTAAGCTAACATATTTTTATTGCTATTTTAAGGTGGTCAAAAACTTTCTTTTATCTTTTTAAAAGTTGTTTGCTTGTGTTCAAAAGGAAATTTGTAAACTATAGTCAAATGGCGAAATTTAGTTCTCTTTTAAGTTACTCTTCAGTGCATGCATGCATACTATATGGTATACGGATACATATGCACACACATATGCATGTATGTAAATTTAATTTTTAGCATGTAGCAATAAAATTTTCTTACGCATAATTAAAAGACGTTAATAAAAGTTCAAAAATTATTTATGGTGTCGACGTGACATGTTTTTAAGTTGTTTACTTTATCATTAACTAATGTAATGTTTATTATTTAGTATTAATCAATTTGAAATTAATACTAAATAATTATAGTTTTTAATATTTTTGATTTTTAAATTGTAAAAGTAAATACATACCTATAAAAGTGTGTGCAGTAACTGTTAATGTACTTGCTTAGTATAATATAATATATATATATGTATGTATAGTAGATAATAAAAAAGTTATTATGGAAAATATTTATATTAACTTATTATATCATTAGTGAAAATGTTGTTAAGATTACTTTACATAAGTACAAAGAAACTTAGCTTTTAGTATATTTAAACCTATACATTTAGCAGTCGCACAATTTCATAGATCAAAGCTGACCCAATGGCTTTGATCAAATATGAAATTGTGTTTCAAAACAGAAAATCAAAATTATTCCTTTTTATTTGTAAATATTTGAATACAAAATATTGATTAGTAAGCAAACATGTTTGTATAAATGTACTACGTATAAAAATTTTCTGAATTAATTAGATAATTTACAATCATATTCAGTATTATTTTCTCGATATAGGATACATATGTATTTATGTAAATATGTATGATACATATTTATGTACCTTCAACATTTCAAAGCCTTCGAAATATTTAATAAGAATTTGAAAAAATGCGTTTATATACATACATAACTTTTAGCTTTAGCGTCAACATTTGTATTTTAGACAATTTACATTTGAATGAAAAGCCAACTGGTTTTATTTTCTTAAATAGTATTTTATGTATTTTAAAGTACAATAGTAATGGCTTCAAATTGTTATAAAATGCTTCTTGTACTTCAAGCAACTCGCTTACAAACAATAAACTGCTTCACTTTCGCTTCGCTTTCCGCCTGCTAAGGGAATTTTTATAACGCAGCATTTCATATTTGTAGTTTTAATAAATAATTTATTGACATACACGTAAATAAGTACTTATTGTTTATCAATGAAAGGGAGGTATATTCGGGGTCAAACGAACTGATCTTTCCTTTTATTTCGTTTTTGCTTTTCTAATTATTTATTTTTAATTTCTTGTTATTTTTTTAACTATTTATAGTAAATCTAATTTATATATTTTTAAAGTATTCAGCTATTTATTTCATATTTGGTACTTGGTTTTTCATGTTTTGCTTTGGTATGTTTTGTCTTGTTTGGGTAGGATATTTTTTAAACAGTTTATTAACAGTTTATTTTGTGTTCGTTTTCACATTTTAGCTACTTACACTATATAAATATAATCATATTTATTTGTAGAATATATATTTATATGTAACATTTCATTTAAGAACTATTTATGGTAATCAAGAAATTCAAATTCTATATAGATTTCATAACAACAGCACGTTGAAGATAACAGTAAGAGTGTTTGAAGTATGAATTATATGTATGTTAGGAGTTAAAAAAAAATTATTTACATAAATAGTGACGTATTTAAGTATTTTTGGCTCGAAAAGTGTATGTACATAGTATTTCTGAGTGCAGACTCGTATTTATTAGTTTATTAAATGAATTATTAACACCATTAGAAACTTCAGTTCGTATGAAAAATTAATAAAAAAAAATTAGTTTACGAGTTTTGTTTTTTAAGTAAAACATAACTGTATGCTCTTGTGTTCATCCAATTTGAAAATTTTTCTATACTCTCAATGTTATACCTTTTCAGCACTAAAATGTTCTGCATATAATAAAATATTCCATTTTTGCTTAGGTGTACTTTTTTATGGCTTTCGGCAAGTCACGCAAATATAAATATTTATATACAAGTTTTTGTATGTATGCATGTGTGCACATATGTATGTATATGTATAAATTGTTACAACAAATTGGTTTACTAAGTAAAATCCGAAAACATAATTGTATTAGCAATTTTTTATAAACAAATTTCGTAATAAGTATGTATATCATCCGATAATACATATGCATATACATATACTCGTATGTATATTGTCCAATTGGAATATATGCATGTATTATATATAAATATAATATATAAATATAATTTGTTTGATGTGTATGCATATGTAATATTTATATATATGTATGTATGTATAACTAGCTGCGCAAACAACATTTTAGTAATATCAATTTATTTAAATATTTTAACTATAATTTTAATAATAATTATTATGAATAATGTTAAGGACAAATTTATTTATATAATATATGTTTGTATATTTGCATTTTTAATATTTGTTTGTTTGTATATAATTTACATGTAATACATTGTAACATTTTTTGTGTATATTTACATGTTTTTATGCAGTTATTTGTGTTTTTTTTTGTTTGCGTTAAATACCTAAAAAGGAATCACAAAATTTGTTTCCATATTCAAAAAAAAAAAAAAAAAGTTAACCAAAACACCGCATTCAATTCCAATAATAATTTTCATATATTTTCTATAATTAAATTTTAATATCATAACGATTTGAATTTTTTATAATATATTTTTTTTTTTTTTCAAATTATTATTTTTTATTTCTTCCATTATATTTACGCGTGTATAATACATACCTAAGTGCATTTCACCTTGTTTCAACTACTTAATACGCTTTTGTTTGCTTTGTTTTTCGTTTACATGGAGTTTTGTTTATTATGTATGTATGTTTGGTTTTTAATCTCTGTTACTTTTAATCATCCCACGTTGGAAATTGCGTCTCATCGATAAACATGCTAAATTTACCATCCGTTGTTGCTGCTGTTGCTGTGGAATTCGCTGTTGTTGTTGTATTTCTTGTACTTGTGGAATTTTTCGTTTGCTGTTGTTTTTGTTGTTTAGTGGAATTGCTTTCTGTTGCTTTGGAATAACTTGTATTGGAACGTTCTGTAAAGTGCATATACAGTTATACAACATAAATATGCATATAAACGTATGTACGAGTATGTATGTTATCATAATCAACTGTACTCACTTGTGGTTGCTGTTTGTTTTGCTCGCGTGTCCTTAGTAGCCCATACAGGCTCATTGCTTTGATTCATATATGTGGGTTGATCCCACACGGCTTTCTCTTCGACATTTTTACTCTGAAAGAGAAAAAGTTTTTTTTTTTACATTCGTTTCCTTAATTTTCAAATATCTTTGCCCTACACTACTGACATAATCTTTATCGACATGCAGTTCTATCTCATCAGTCGTCTGCTCGAGTGTACTGTGCGTAATGCCATAGTAGAAGTACATGATGAAGCCCAATGTCATCCAGATAGTAAATCTAACTAATGTGAGTATGCTTAATTTAAATATTAAATAAATATTAACGGTTATGGCAATTGCAGGTATAAATGGAAGTCCCGGCGTAAGGAATGCGAGCGCGTATCTACAATAAACAAACAAAAAATAAAAGAAATAAAAAGAAAAAATTAACCATTTCAATTCCATCTTGCCACTCATTTATCGATATATTATATAATTCTTGTGAAAGAAACTACTATTTACCTATTTTGTGGTTGTCTTGATATAATTAATAGTATCACAAATATGCCAATAAACAAAATGAAATAAATGAATGCGGCAAGGCCACCGGACCAGCCAATGGCAGCAAACAGATCCAAGAAGAATATGAGACCGAACATGATTCCAACAAGTTTGGTGACATACATGCCTGTTTGTGAAAATAATACAGATAATAATAAAAAAGCAACAATTTCGTAGAGTTAATGATTAAATTTTGTACTATATAAATATGATTATATGACGATTTTGCCTAAGCGACGAAAAAGGCAAAATATCAAATATACCACAAAGCACGTACCACTTTCCGCTGTAGCCTGACCGGGATTAATCCATGGAAAGAAGCCGGGACACAAATACGCATAATCATGTATTTTACGTGATACAAAATTTAAGCCCATTGTATCGAAAGCGGTTGCCTGACCAGTCGGTCCGGTAGGGGCGCCATGTACGCTGCCGTAAAATTTATTTTCCGAACGATCGGACACAAGAAATTGGTCATCACGCCCCAAATAACCCTCCGGACTCTCGTCGATAAAGGAATCATCCGAATCGGACATTCCACGTGTTACCCGTTTTATTGTTAATTTGTTCGCTGGCAACACCTCAGCGGTGGTAGCGCTCGGATCTGTTGCTGTGCCCGGTGCCAGTGGTGTACGCAACTGCGCTGGCAGCAACTCAACCAGCGATGTGCTGTGCGGCTGATATCGTAACACCAGTACACAGGTGGAGACTAGCGTGTAGGCGAGCAGTGTGCCAATGGACATCATTTCGACGAGAATTTCCAAGCGCACGGTAAGCGCAACCAGTGCAGCTGCAACACCACTGCCAATGGTTGCCAAACCGGGCACATTAGTGCGCTGCCACAGCTGCGAGAGTTGTCTGGGAGAGAGAGAAAAAAGAGTAAGTGTGATTTATTATAAATTGAGTGCACAAATAAACATACCTGAATATAAGTCCATCTTGTGCCATTGCATAAATCACACGCGGCATTGGAAACATCGAGCCGAACATAGCAACGGAGAGACCTGCAGTGGCACCCACTGCGACTATTGCGCGACATTTGGGTGCACCTACATAAGACCACATCTGAACCAATGCCGCGCCAGGACTAATATGATCGAAGGGCACTACAAAAGAAGAATAAAGTCTTTTATAGAAAATCTTTAATTACATTCATAATATTACCAGTGCGCGGATTATGTGGCATTTGACTTTTTTGCCTCTCAAATTATTATAAAGCCATAAGTGCTTATTTCTTGGCAATTTATTTTGCTGGTTTTTAAGAGCTGAACAACTCTTATGAAGTAAAGTTTCAAAAAACAATCATTTTTCGATGAATGTCAAATGCTAACAAAATCCCCGCCCTGGATATTAAACTTACCAACTAGGGTTAACACTAAGCTAACGCTCACATACGCAAACAAAACAATCACCAGCGAACCCACAATAGCTTTCGGTATGCTCTTTTGTGGACTGTGTGCCTCCTCACCGGTGGTAGCTATAATATCGAAACCGATAAAAGCATAAAAACAAGTCGCTGCACCGGAAAATACCTGAAAGAATTTTAACGATTAAACGTTTAATAAAATTCAATAAATTCATGTCATAAATGCTGGGCAATAACTTACACCACCCCAACCGTATGGCAGGAAGCCTTGATGTTCTGTCCAAGTGCTGCTATCAACATAAAATAAACCGGCAGCCATCACGAATACCCAAGTCGCCAGATTTACTGCATTCAATATATGATTGAATATCACCGATTTACTCGCTCCCATTGCCAGCACACAAGTCATAATCAAAGCGATGCCAAAAGCTATAAAATCAGGTGGCTTACCTAGTATGTGAAGAGGGGGCAGTTAAGATAAACTGATATTTAGTATTTTATACAAAAAGTGAAGAGCATCAAAAAGGATTACAGAGCTTTGAGTAAGACATACCAAATATGGTGCCGATTGTATCGCCAATCGCATTCGCTATGGCACCACCGGTTAGTGAATCAAAACTAGAGCTCAAAGCACACGCGCAGGCACTTGTTCCTATTGGAGAGGAATACCTTTCGTTAATATACATATTCGAAGATAAAGAAGACAGTAATCAATTCTCTGCTCACCTATTAAATACTCCAATATCATATTCCAACCAATAATAAACGCTACAAACTCGCCCACCGCCACATAGGAGTACATATAAGCTGAGCCGGAAGTATGTGGCACGCGTACACCGAATTCCGCATAGCAGGCACCTTAAAGAGCATAAACATTCATGCATACATACGTACACGTGTGGTGTTATGCTTACCTGAGAAAATGCTTGCTATCGCTGCGATGATGAAACTAATTATCACTCCGGGTCCAGCGAGATTTTTCGCCACCATACCTGCGACCAGGTACATACCAGTGCCACAGCATGAGCCAACTCCCAGCGATGTTAAGTCGAGGGTGTCGAGGCATTTCTGTGCAGGGGAAAGCATAAATGGTATTCAGAAAAAAATAAAATAAAAGAGAAAGATGAAACGATGAAATATACTGAACAAAAAATATAAGAGCTTGCATATTGAAACCAAAGTGAAAAGAAAAAAAAACTAAAGAATCATAGTTAGCCACAATATACAATAGAATCCATCGCAGAGAATCTACGAATATAAAAAAAATTACTACTATCGCCACTTCGCTCGAATTATAGTTATCTGAGCTCCAGATTCCAGAACAAAAAATTCCTCAAGCTACATGACGTTAGCAGTGCGCTCTGCCATGCGGAAACTCATTGGTTCTAGTCACGGCCAGACCTACACCTAAAGTTATATTAAAAATAATTGTGTTCGCCTCTTAGCAGAGAATGTCCACACCTTTGGGTATAACTCATAAAAAAAGCAGGTCCATGCGTTTGTTGGAATACTTCAATTCATATATCGCAAATTGGTAGAGCAACTCTGCTGGAAATCGCTGCAGTGTTTTTTTATCAAAGCGCGAATATCGTCTGGAAACAAAAAGATGAATAGTTTGACGTGCCGAAAAACTTTTGTTACTGCAGAGTTTCATTCCAGCGCTCTGAAAGGGCGGGATACTTAACACCTCCAGAGAGACTTTTAGTTTTCGACAATTACAGAAAAAGATGAGCATCGAATTGCGCTAGAAACAAAAAAGACCATCAACCGAGAGTTCGTATTTACGGAGAGCAAAAAGTGATCGATATTTGAGAGTTTGCAGCGCTCGTCAGACGTAATGTTCGAAAATGCTCCTCTCCTGTCTCCTCTTACCGAGCATCAACAAAGCGCTCATACCTTTTCAGTCTTTCTTTAGACCAGACACTTTTTCGTCGATTTTAAAACCACCTTTAATAGCACTAAATAAAGCTGCACTTCATGGGACTATTTTCCTGTTTAGTATTCCTGAAGTCACGTCAAAAACTCGAAAAACTCCACCCCACCGTTTGATACCTTACAAGGTTTCATACAAGTATATTTTCTAATAGCTATTTGGAGTTATCTTTGGAAGTACAACCTACGTTCGATTCTATGGCAGGGCTGAGTGTAAATAAGACACGTCGCAGTTGAAAACAAAAATGTAAATTACGAATTAAAAATTAAGGAGACTTCTAAAATCAAAAACAACGCCCGCGGTCACTTTGCATAATTTCAATGCTGTGTTTATTTTGTATTTATTTACCGTTAGTTTCGGCTTTGTCGGCTGCGCATTACCATCCTGCAACTGTTTGACATCCTTCGTGCGTATTAACTTAGGTATTAGTGTTGTTGTGCTAACGCCGGGCGGTAAAGGAATTTTGAATTTTATCTATAAGGAAATACAGAGAAACAAGGATTCAATTAGAAGCGATAAATATTATGTTAAAAATATAAAAATACAAATTAAATTACTAAAAGCACATACAGTGCGTATGAGTAACCTCTCTATGCACATCCTATGTACGCATGCATACACGTATGTATGTAGAATGTATTTGTTGTGTTGCCCCATGGCAGCGCGAAACTAAGTGAAAAAAAAACTAATAAATTAAAAAGTTATTAACAATCAAGGACTCTTCAAGTCATTTGCCATTTGAAAGCATCATTAACAGAAGCCCACGCGTACACACAGAAATGCAAACGCGCGCACACACACATACACGCACGTACGCAGACTTTGACAAAGCTCTAAACACTTTACACTTTTATTAACACTTCAGTCAATTGGTCCACTTGTTGGCAGCGTTCAGAGCAGTAAAGGCAGTTTGCATTTATAAATTCACGCATAGATAAATATGTGTATATACTAAAGTACATATATACACAAATGTTTACTTACATATGTACATATGTACGTACATAAGTATATATTTATAGTTATGCGCCTATTTCCTGGTGGGTTGAACAAAAAATGTGATTTTACAAGTATAACAATAAAAACCGCCAACAACATACATACATATACATATATATGTATGTATAGTGTTCACATAAATTGAACTAGAAAACGAATGTAGAAAACTTTCTCATGCATACATACTGACATACGAGAACATACACATGTATATATGTGCATGTATTTTTAAATATACTCGTACACCAGCTTGCATGTGGTTATGTTTACATACATATATATTCGCACATATATGACAGACATATGCGGTGCTTTAATCGATATTTGCAACAAGTACCATTCAACATAAATGACGTTGCTGCTGCTTCTACCGCTGCCAGTTAGTTCTGCCCACACAGCGACCTTTAATATTATATGTATGTATGTATTTAAAGGCATATGTATGTAGGGTTGACTAAATAGTTTTTCCCTTGATTGCGTGTTTACACTCTTTGCGCAAAATGTCAGGGTTAGTTTAGCACTGATTTTTTTTTTATTTTTGTTGTTGTTTGTTTTTGCTCGGATATGTCTCGTAGTACTTACAGTTGTTAAGTCCAGTAAATCTTATGAATGTTCATGTTAACATTAATTAGAAAAAGCTAATCATGATTATACCCATACATATACATGCTAACTGTACTGTACATTGTACATGCATATGCATATTGAGAGGATTTTAAAATGCTTCAAATGAATTGGTTTAATATGCAAATAGAATGTGGCTTTTAGTATTTGCAGAGACTATATTATGCGAGTGAGCAAATAACTAATTTGTTATCGATAACCAACGGATGCACGCGATCTATGTGCCAGAAAGAAGTTTATACAATAAAAGCCGATATAAAAAATAATACAAAAAAAAACGTTGCCTACATTTCGCACCAACTCCAAGTTTACACCCGGCAGATCGGGTCAAGGCTTTATACTTTAAAGGCGAATCATTGAAACTGACTGGTTCTTGACTACACCCCATTATACCCCAATTATTATATATGTAATTGATACTCTCCTCCTCTACCTACTCCAATTTGTAGTTTGGTTTTTGGGTATCTTCGCAACAAATGGAGCGACCTACAATTTATACTAAGCCGCCACCGAAAGGCGGCGAGCTTTTATTTCATATCAGAAATACACTCGAAGGGGTTGACATTTCTTGCCGAGGGGCGACCGCAAAATTTAATTTAATTTTTTATTTAAATCAATTTTCTATAATTTTTTGGATGTTGGCACGACAACAGGATTTGAACACGAGCCTCCCGTACGGCTATCGCGACCGTCACTTACATATTTAATTAAGATTGAGAGAGATATAGCATTAAAAATTTCATATATAAGAATTTTATTTCTTTTTTTAATTTTCGGTTTAACACAAACAATTTTAATCTAAATATTATTTGATAACCCTACAAATATCTGATAACATGTTGGGCCACAAGTTTTTTCGACCGAGAAATTAAACTGTTATTGGATGAGTGCATAAGTTCGTGCCCGATTTCAAGTGCAAACTAAAATTGAAATTTTTTGAAGAAAGCGCTTTTATTAATTAATTATGTATTCGCCATCATGTTCGACGATCCACTCCCAACGTTCAACCAATTTACGGATGCCTGAGTAATAGAAATCGCGCGATTTCTCGTTGAAAAAGGTGTCAAGGTGGTTTTTGACGTCTTCCACATTTTTAAATTTTTTCCATTCAAATTGTTCTGCAGCGATCGAAACAAATGATAATCAGAATGTGCAATGTCGGGTGAATATGGGGGATGCGGCATGATTTCCCAATTCATCTCCTTCAGTTTGGCCAGGGTCGGTTTTGCAA